AGCTCCTTACTGAGGGTATCGACATCCACACTATCTCTAGAAATCAAGTGTTGGTTCGATTGGTGTGATTTTTCGTTCTTCCGGGAAACATGACCCTGCAATGTCATAGATTGCGGGTGCAATCTCGGATTATAATGGCTCAGGATTGGGTCATTTTCTAGGGGTTGTGACGTGATTGAAAGGACTTGTTCAAGAGATTCGGGGTGCTGGAGGGGCGAATCTTGGGTTGCACCTATTGCTTGAGAAGGAATCTGAGATGCGGATCGAGCATATTGCTGATCCGAAGGACTCTCAGGCATGTCAAGATACCCATCAATACTCGGCGTACTAGAATTTGTAGAAGTCAGCCACGAGGCTTGAGCTCGCTGTGATCTCTGAGGACGCCCAGAAACAGAACGAGTAATGTTCAGCGGCTCAGGATGTAGACCTTCGGTAGAGTGTTCTCCTCGGCGAGTGCGCTGCGATGGATCAGCATGCTGCGCTTCTGGAGGACCCCCAGAAGCAATGTGACTTCCGCCAATCATCAATGTACTAGAAGGGCCATCATATAGACCATCCTGTGGCCCGTCTGCCTGAGGTGCAGGAGTGACGGATCTTAGGGGAACTGCAAATGGATTTGTTGCGTTTACAGTGAAAGAAGAAGTTCTGCTTGTTGACTCAAAAGACCTATCAACACGTCGAAGTGGGGTCGAATCGTGAATAGACGTTTTCAGAATCCGGCGTGGACTGGGATTTTTTGCAGTGCTCGACCTGGTTTCTACAATTGGCTTGCACCCAAACTGAATGTGTTTTTGGGCTTGAACGGTAGGAATCGATACCGGTGTATTATCCGATCTGGCGGACTTATGCGACTTTCCAGGCGAGGGGGTATTTCTCATATATTGAGCGACCATACTATTCCTGCGTGGCGACTGATTGCTTGGAGTGTTTGAAATTGTCGACTTTGCAAGAGACTTTGCTGGGGACGAAATAATTGTCGGTGGCGACTCCGGTTTATTGAATTTAGCTGCAAGAGCCTTGACACTACTACCTCGGGATCTGATAGCCGGTCTACTGAGAACATTTCTATGGGCTCTTGGTATCTTTGATGGAGATGATGTGCTGGGATCATCAGAGGGCATTTGTGAGCCTAAAATTGGACACACAGGAGCTTTAGAGTTATCAGCCGTTGTCATATGCATTAGAAATGAAGTCGTAGGGGGGCCTGTAGGAGTTTGTATAGCTGTAGGTATGGACGATGAAGTGGTCTGAACATTGTATGGATCACCACTTCCTGTTGAAGACTCTGAGTAAGTCAGGGCCGGTGCAGTTGAAGAAGACAGCTGTTGCTCATGAGAAATATGTGAGGCGGCATCCTTCTTGCTTGTAGATTTGCCTTCAGACTGCATTGTTTGCGCGACCGTGGCTTCAGAAGCACTATTTTCTTCTTGTTCGTGTTTGGAGTGATGATTCTTCTCGGCTGGTGATTCGTTCACGTTCGTTGAAGTTTCTTCGGATTTCATTGCTCGAGCAAGGGCAGCCAAAGAAGCCTCATCTTCTACATGTGAGATACTGGATAGAGGATCCTTATTGACAAGATGCTGAGGGTTTGCCCAATCATTTCGAGTTGTATCGCCATAAGTAGTTTTTGACAGCCTACGAACATCTGGAATCCGCAGCCCCGAAGGGATCTGGCCTGGCTCGCTGGCGGCAAATCGCTTGATTCGTGCAGACACCGTTCCCTCTGGGACAACTACAGTATCTTTACTGACTCTAGTGTCAGAATTTTGAGGTTGTAGGTTTGAACTCGGAGGTTTTGGAGGTTTAGCACTTTGTCCAGTTGGCGAATGGAAATAATCATCGTGGCCTCTTTGCGTATTCTGTGCCAAATGACTATGTTCCACAGTCTTCACTGGTGTCTCCGCCGACTTCCCGACGACCTTTCGAGCTGAAGCAGTCATCTGGTTTCGAATGATCACACCTAAGCTTTCACTAGACTTCTCGCTAGACTTCGAATGCTCTTTGTGCTGCTTGGTTAGGCTCTTAGGAGACTTTGTCAATTTACCCTTTTTGTGATGTGAAGAATCACTCTGAGTGTTTCCTACCGGTTTCTCGGGATTTCGAAAAGATGAGTTTTCTTTTATACGCTCGTTGTATGCGGGTGGAGTCTTGCTAAGTGGGAATGGCGGGGACGGAGGAGGGAGGAGGCTAATGATGCTCTCTATTGCGGTTGAGCTGACCGGATTAAACTTATTTTCTGTCCATCTCGCATGCTTCTCGGGACTGTCCACTGATTTTTCACTCAATCGTTCTTCAGCGGTGGGGGAAAGAGCACCCATGGTCTTTTGGCCTGAGAGTATTTGACTTGATTTGGGACATGGCCTCGATCGCTGCTTCCTGACCACCAGTGAATCATGCGGCGACTCCGTATTTGATCCATGACGGCTTTCGGTATTGTTACTGATGGTGACACTAACACCTGTTTGAAAACCCAAGGTTAGCGAAATAGACCAATGAGATTTACATTGAAGACTTACGACGAATGGGAGTTGGAGAATCACTTCTCTCCATTCTTCTGATAGGCGGATTTGAATCATCCCAGTCTGGTGGTTTTCGCAAAGAAAATGTATCCGAGGCCGACGGACGTAGAAAAGGTGGCTTGGGAATCTTGAACCCTACCGATCTGTGCCCTCCAATGACCCTTGAAGCACCAATGTTCTTGATATGTCGAACGACATCACGCCAGTGCGTAATGACCATTTCGGTAATGCTGTTTGCAACCTTAATCTTATCAACATGAGTATTAAAGTAAATCCCCTCGTCAATACTAGACGGCTTCTTGTGTTTTTCCTTGCGTGACTTTGGTGGACTAATTGGGAGCAAGACGAGTCCTCCATGTGGATTTGCTAGGTGCATAGAAGAATTCTCGAGTAATTCTCCAACGAGAAGGGGACCAAAAACGATGCCCAGGGCAGTATAGCCCATAAGGTCAGACGTAGGCAAGGGCCTCCCGCGTTCATTTTCTCGGCGGGTGGTCTCAGCTGCTCGACCAACCATACAGAGAAGTCCGAACACTGCGCATATCAGGTCTCGCCGGTATTGTGACCGTGAAGTTGATATGGCCAAGGCTATGAGCCTTGCTCGAACTTTGGTTTGCCTTGTTCTCATCAATTCGGGATCGCCTTGCAGTTGACTTTGGATTGCGACTAAGGCGTCAAAGAGCGCCAGTGAGCCCAGGATTCCGCCTGGTAGGCCAGAGAGGAACTTCTTGAAGGCCGATGCCACATCATGTACGTCGCATTTGATATGTCCCGGGATCGAAGGACAATGTACAGTGCCTGAGATTATATCGCCGTCGAAATCTTTGTTGCAATAATGGGCGTAAAGTGCGGCGACAACGCTGTGGGACCCTGGAATACGGAAGATACCTCTCGCAGAAGGTGCTAAACTGTGTTAGTATAAGTTCCACACATTAGATATTGTTGCCTCACCATGCTGAACGAGATACTGCGCTGTGGCACGGAAGCACGTCGGAACAGCCAAGCTCCCAGGCACGTACTCTGCAGGCAGATATAGCAGACTCAATCCGCAAAGCCGAACAAGTTCCTGCAAATCCTTGTCCTTCAAGGTATCTTTCTTCGCATATTTCAATCGTAGGGAGAGGTCACTTATACTGCGTCTGTGCTTTATGTGTCTTTCTGGCTTTGCGCTCTGGTTCGATGATGTTCTTCGGAGGACCTTTCTGGTGAACCAACTAGACTTCGCAGAGACATTAAAAGTATCGTCCTATCACATGTTTTTAGCGATGGGGGCTAGATGATAATTATTCTCCTTACATTGACATCGTGATCTTCTGGAACTATTGCCCGAATGCCATGCTATTCCGCAACGTCAGTATGGAACCAGAACGGTCTATAGAAAATAGTACCTTCTGCGCAAGCCGGTTGTATTCCGCAACAAAGAGCGTGCGATCTTCGATATCGTCGTGATCTGAAAGAATATCTCCTCCACTGGATGAGGTCCAAGTGTTGCTGCTTTGTAATTCTCTTCTAGATTGCTTCTCTTCGTTCGACCCATCATACTCCAACTGATTGCGTGGTACTTGAAGCTCGAGTGAATTACTGAAAATGCCTGCTAGTGATGCCTGCTTCCGTAAAGCCTTGGGTTGGTTCAGCAGCTCCTGGGCAATAACCATATCTTCAAAGGTGCCATCGAGAACGTTGTCTTGTGGAAGCGACGCTGACAATGTTGCTGATGATGAACGGGTAATAAGACCATGATGGAAGGATGGCATTTTGACGCGTCATTTACTTTAAATAACTTGTGAAGAAAGTTGACAAGTCGTTGGAGAAGTTGATTTTGAAAGGTCGGCGTCAACATACCCAGCTTTCGAGTTTCCTCAGGAAGGCGCTTTCCTCGACGGAACCTGCTAGTCCTACTATCACAACGCGCCATCCCGCATTTTATGTTTTACCATGGATGTTCTCGGCTGCAAAGATCAATGCAGTCATTCCAGGAAGCACTATTCATACCTAGGTAGCCTTTGACCTGCTCGAAGCTCAACGACCATCTAGCGACATCAGCATCCCATTCATCTGGAATTTGATACGGCATTCCGCATGGTGAAATTTTTGGTTTCCCATTGTGCAGAAGAGGCTGGAGATATCATAGACATCTTATGCGCAGAATGCCGCTGTTTTGCGATACTAGAGAACTATGTTATTAAGGCACGCATGATTGCAGCAGTATTGAAGCTTACCTGAAGCCCCGAGGATTAATGGAATGTACTGATTCCTTGCCCCAAATCATATGTCACTTTCTGTCTCACGTTAAAGTAGGACAGCAAAGGGTAAGGTGAAAAACGGCTTGATTTAAAATGAGGAACTTATTGGTATTATTGAAATCAAGACAACCCAAAATCTAACCGGACCTGGCATCATCCTATGCTCGAGTCTTCCTGACGCCAGATCGCTATGCAACGCCCCCAGTCATTATATTTTTCGTAATCCAACGATCCGTCCCTATTCATCCTCTGCGCCATGTAGAAGAACGTATTTCAAGATGTCCGAAAGAGATATCACGCCCTTCAAGCGGTTCTCCTCGTCAATTACAACCAATCGATGAACCCTAGATTTCCGAATAGTGTCGAAGAGCGAATCTAGTCTGTCATCCTCAGAACATGTGTAAATACCTGCAAAATCCTCTGCTCGCTTGGACAGAGCATCACCAACGCTTGTCCCGAGATCATCGTAGACGCCGCCCTTAATGATAGAAATCACATCAACAGCTTCAAAAACATTCAAGACGTGCTTTTCATCGTCAAGAATTGGCACGCTCGAGATGCTGTGGTCAACCATCATGTGGATCACGTCGATTACCGTGGTATCCATGTTTGCTGTCTGCAAGTGCCCGTATGTGCCAAGGCCGAGTTCCGAGACACTTTTCTTCAGCATCTCCGTCTCGACCACATTAACAGCTATGAACTTCAAGATTCTGTATTGTGTGATTACGCTGACAACCATCTCTCGTCCAGTCTCGTCGTCGATGTCTACGAGGGGGATACGTCGAGCTCGGGTCTTAAGCATTTGTGTACATGCTTCGTAAAGAGGGCGTGCGGGATGGACGGACAATGTCTCGAGTGGGAGAACATTGATAGCTTTCTCAACATCTACATCAATGTATTAGCCTAGTGCTTGTATGCTGTGTGCTATAATCCGGCTCTACCTCTCAAGCTGCTCAGGCGGAACTGATCTATCGCATTCAGCGCATCTGGATTTTGCCAGTAGTATTGTACAACGTTGATATAATCAGAGGTGGTTAGAAGGCCCGCGAAGCTCGAGGTGTGAGAATCCCATAGCGGAGCAGAGACGATTCCTACAAACAGTCCTTATCAGCACTCTGCGATCCAAGAGCGAGGAGGAGTATTACCATTTTGGAGGAGGATAGTGAGGCTCTTCTTCACGAGAAGATCGGTATTGAGAATAATTAAGCGGAAGGAGAGCGGGAGAACATCATAGCTGGTACGGATCTTGAGGAAATCTCGAATAGCTTTCTGTAAGATCAGAGTATGTCAGCCTTGTAAGTCTTTGCCCCTCCAAGCTTTAGAAGCTTATCAGTGCGATCACCGCATGTCTTGGGCCCGCGACAAGACAAGGTCCTTGTCTGAGTGAATGATTCCAGAGCTCTCAATCGGCTTTAGCTTTAAGCAAGGTGGGGTGAAGCATGCTTAGTCCTGTGAAAGCTCGTCGATCGTCCGTTCACAGATGGACATGAATCCCACGTCCCGGACCCGATATCGCGGCATATTATGCGCGTGGGGGAAGGGGTGCACTCACCAAGCCACTCAGCTGGTCCTTGTCCACGGCACTCAACGGTTTGTCCTTGTCCTGCATCGCGAGATTTGGGCCTCGGGGAAGAAGGAAAGTCGAAGGTTGGGCAATCAGTGACGACTCGTGACCAAGTATGACAGTTGGTGGATGAGGCCAAACTGGCCGAGGGTCTTCAGCCGTCTCAGACATGGATGCGAGGGGGGCTGAAGTCTGTGGCGCGAGACCTCGGGTTCTTTTGGGTTTGGATTTGAAGATTCACTATGTCCTTCCCGACTTCTGCAGAAGAAGAAGAAGAAGAAGAAGAAGAAGAAGAAGAAGAAGAAGAAGACAGTTCCAGCAGCTCAACGAATCGATTTAAGGAGCATGGGTAAGCTTTGCTTGGTAGGGTAGATGCGCGAACGCAGGGTCAAAATTTCTGGGGTTGAGGATTTAGAGGGAGGTGGGTACGGTACGTGGGGTTGGATTTCACGTGCATGACGAGCGAGTTACTAGGAAATTACCCCAAAATGTGGAGTTTATCGTTAACCGTACTGTACGGTCTGTACCTCGCATTTTTGGAGGGGAATTGAGGCGATCCATTTCTCCGTGCCGATATGAAGGATACGAAACAATACAACTAGTGCAATATATGGAGATAGGGAGACGTTTCAGGTGTATACGTTAATCAATAGATATGGTTACATATCCTGGATTATTACTTCCCTCCACCGTATTACTCGCCCAAGGACATTTTGTGTCTGGAGATTATGCATCCCATACATTTCATATATTTATACTAATCCGTTGTCTTGAGAATTCTTTGGAGATGTAGAGGGAAGAATACGCTACGCCTTGATTCATCACCTAGCCCTCTTTGTCCTTGTACCGTCTAACTCTATTATACCAACGTAATTGGGGGAGAACTTCGAAATGGAGAAAGGAAACCTCGAGCTTCACACGTTTGCCAAGAAACTGTTTGCTCTTTGGCACAACACAATCAATGTATAAGGTTGGGTAGATGCAATACGGTTCTATGTAAATAGAAGCGCCTCAAACAACACAATACGAAAAGCATCAAAGCTAAGCCTCGAATTACTCAAGGGAAGCCTGCAAGCATCACATGACAACATGACAATACGACGCCCCCCTCGGAGAATTCGTATATTGCCCTACTTGCCTCCTAATCCTTCCTGTGCTTCACGAGACAGCAAACAGCAAGATCGAGTAACCATGGTAGAGCAAAGTTCGGGCGGTAAATGTCTTGCTGGGGGCAGGCAGGCGAGCACGGCTTGCAGCATCTGTCGTGACAAACCCTCTAATTACTAATTACTAATTACTAATTACTATGTTCCTCTCCTTGCACAGAATGCGAAAGGATTCTTAGGCATTGAGGATTCGGGCACTCTTGAATTCCCTTTGGTGCTTTGGATGTCGCTTGACCACAGCCTATCCGTAAAGACATGCACGCACGCAAGTCTCCTGATACATCATCGCCCTCGAGTGAACAACAATGCATGTGATCATAACTGGAGTGAAGGTGTGGTGTTTTGGTAGAGAGAGACAGGGGCTCGAGGGGCTCAAAAATAAACGGCAAGCGAGAGATTGACATGGTTGCAGGGTTGCGTTGCTTGGCGACTTCCGCGCGCCGACTGCAACCCAAGCTACGGTATCTTCACTCAGCCAGGCAAGCTCGATCAATCCAAAGAGTTCACTCAACCGTTACCGCCATCATCTCCAACTTCCTTCACTTCCCTTTCCCTTCTTTTCCATTCACACCGCAGTGAATGGCCGTAGCGGCTCTACTTTCTGTGTTTGTATTACCACAGCCCTGTTGAAACCTCCGCTCCACCTGCCGGTCCTTGCTCTTGCTTTGCTTTGTTCAACCTCCGGCTCGCGTTCCAACAACAATTGACTTCGAAAAAGAGACACACCACCAGTCCTTCGGGACCAACATCTGGAGATGGGCGCCTGTGGATCTTCGTGTTGTGGAGGTATGCACTTGTTTTTTGGCCAGGTGTGGGAGGCTTTTGCTGATGTTGGATCCAGGCAAATCCCGCGATGGGTTATACGAACCAGTTCTGGCCGAGAGCGAGAGAGAAGCGGTGGCAGACTTGCTGCAATATCTAGAAAACGTATGCAGAGCTCCTTTAGCACACCATGCACCCTCACTGATGTCTTCATAGCGGGGCGAGACCGACTTCTTCTCTGGCGAACCCTTACAAGCCTTGAGCACCCTCGTGTTCTCCGATAACGTCGACCTACAACGCAGCGCAAGTTTGACATTTGCTGAAATCACCGAGAGAGGTACGTTTACAATTTTATGGATGGATAGTCATGTTTTTGGATCACGGCCAGGGTTGAGAACGATTTGGCTTCTGTTGAAATATTGTCTCCCTCAGCAGGCTACCCCGCCGAAATAATCAAGACAGACTGGCGACTGTCTAGTCGAGCTGGGCAGTGTCTGTTAATGACCGTACTGACACGCATATAGATGTCCGTGAAGTTGACCGTGATACCCTGGAACCCATTCTGTTCCTCCTACAAAGCCCGGATATCGAAGTACAGCGGGCAGCTAGCGCGGCACTCGGGAATCTCGCTGTAAACAGTACGTAAATATACCGCCGATAGGAAGCAATTGCTAACCCTTTCTAGCTGAGAACAAAGTCGCAATCGTACTTCTCGGTGGTCTAACACCCCTCATTCGCCAAATGATGTCCCCGAATGTCGAAGTCCAATGTAACGCGGTCGGCTGCATCACAAATTTAGCTACGCATGAAGACAACAAGGCAAAGATTGCGAGGTCAGGAGCATTGGGACCTCTGACTCGGTTGGCAAAGTCGAAGGATATGCGGGTGCAAAGGAATGCTACAGGAGCACTTTTGAATATGACACATTCTGGTGAGTGATCATGTCCGATTACCTCAATTTTGAGCTAAAAAGGTCGCAGATGAAAATCGACAACAACTTGTAAATGCCGGTGCTATACCGGTCCTTGTACAACTTCTCTCTTCTTCCGATGTGGACGTCCAATATTATTGCACAACTGCTCTGAGCAACATAGCCGTGGATGCGAACAACCGGAAGAAGCTTGCGCAGAGTGAGAATAGGCTCATCCAATCATTGGTCAATCTTATGGACTCGTCATCACCAAAGGTCCAATGCCAAGCTGCGCTGGCTCTACGAAACCTTGCCTCCGATGAGAAATACCAACTCGAGATAGTCCGCGCTCGTGGACTAGCTCCATTACTTCGACTTCTGCAATCATCATACTTGCCCCTTATACTCTCTGCAGTCGCCTGCATTCGCAACATCTCTATCCACCCTCTGAACGAATCACCAATTATCGATGCAGGCTTCTTAAAGCCATTGGTTGACCTCTTGGGTTCAACGGATAACGAGGAAATACAGTGCCATGCTATCTCAACACTGCGAAATCTAGCTGCCAGTTCCGATCGCAACAAGGCTCTTGTATTGGAAGCTGGGGCTGTCCAAAAGTGCAAGCAGCTAGTTCTCGATGTTCCCTTAAGCGTACAATCCGAAATGACTGCAGCTATCGCAGTATTGGCTCTGAGCGACGAGCTAAAGACTCACTTGTTAAACCTAGGTGTCTTTGACGTTCTTATTCCCTTGACCGACTCTCAAAGCATTGAGGTGCAGGGTAATAGTGCTGCTGCTCTCGGCAATCTTTCCTCGAAAGGTATGACTCCATAATCTTTCTCTGCTAATTTTACTAACCGGTTCGTAGTTGGCGATTATTCGATCTTCATTCAGGACTGGACAGAACCCAACGGAGGTATTCATGGTTACCTGAAGCGTTTCCTCGCCAGTGGAGATGCAACATTCCAGCACATTGCAATCTGGACCTTACTACAGCTCCTGGAATCCGAAGATAAGAAGTTAATTAATCTCATTGGGAAATCCGAGGAGATAGTACAAATGATCAAGACGATAGCAGATACGCAAATCGACTCTGACGATGACGGCGAGGAAGATGGCGAAGGAGAAGTTGTACAACTGGCTCAACGCTCTCTCCAACTACTCGGGCAAGGTTCCAAGACCTCGCACATTGAAGGATGAAATTGTCTGAAAATAGATGTTTCCTTAGTTTTGCATCTGGGTGTGGAATGGCAAGGTGTTTAGGCGTATACAGCCATGGATTCATTTTAGTAGCGAGCATTAGTGGAGTGATAGTTAGGGCGACCTTTTTATTTTATGGTTATGGCGAGGCATACGGGGGAACCGCCTTGTTTGCCATAGTTCCATACACATTTCTTTCCAGACGTTTTGAAACGTTCTCCTTGAACTTGATACGATTCATACAGAACTACACGTAGTATTCTTGTAATTAGATAGGAGTTTATGATATCCAACTAACTTCCACTTTGGAAGAGATAATCTCATAGTGACCCGTGGTGATGATAGAATACATTAAAATGTACATTTTTGTATACAGCTCTCGCAAACGCATACACCTAATGCACCCATCTAATACGTCTCCACCAGCCTCAACCCATCAGCCATCCACCTCCTCTCACTCCAAGGAAACACCTTAGCAACAACCTTCCCTTTAATAACTGCCATCGGCATGGGTCCAAAATGCCTCGAATCCCTCGAAGCCGACAAGTTATCCCCCACAACCCAACAGTGACCTTCAGGCACCTGTTCATCCACAATCAGCCCATATCCCTCGACGCTTCATCTTCAAACCCCACAAACAAAAAACAATAAAACAAACTCACCTGGAGCATCTTCTCCCCCCTCCCCGCCTCATCCTGCAAAACGACAAAATCCCCCTGCATCCCTACCACCCTCTTGATCACCTCCTCCCCAGCCACCACCACGCTATCAAACGACACCACGTCCCCGACCTTCACATCGCGGCCCCGCCGAAAATACCGCGATATCAACACGCTGTCGCCGAATACTTCGAGGGTGGGTAGCATGGAAGGCCCGCGCGTGGCCTTGAGCGTATAGATGTGTGTTAGGAAGAGGTGAGTGAAGAAGAAGGTTTTTAGCGTTGTGCTTAGGATGAGGAGGGGCGCGGATGCGTGGCGATGCTTGAGAAATTGGGGGAGGGGCATGGTTTGGTTTTGCTTGCGAGGGTTGGTGAGTGAGGTGGTGGGAGGTCACGGGAATGAGAGGGAGGGAGGTTCAGCCTTGTGGATGAGCTACCGTCTGTCGGTTGAGCTGGGCCGAGCGCTGCTTTGGCGAGAGGTGGACCTAGGCCAGGGGTGGAACTAAAAATCTCGAGTCTTGAATTGATGCTCCATGATACATAACAACACTACACGATATCCACAGCGAGACAACAAAACAAGACAGATAGAATGAGGCCGAAACACTTCTCCAGTACGGCAACAGCTCTGCACCGCGTCTTCATCGCGCCCATTGAGCTGCAACCGCGTCTCTTCCGCCCCATCCCCTTCCCCCCAACCCTCTCCCCCCAGATCCAGCGCCGAACCTACGCAGCCCCAAAGCCCAAACCTGCGGTTGAGAAATCCCGTCTACCCATCAACGAAGAAATCACCGCCAGGTTCATCACGGTCGTTAGCCCGGATGGCAAGCTCTCCGGGCCGCAAAATACGCGTTCCGTGCTCGCCGGACTGGATAAGAAGACCCACGTCCTGACCATGGTCAACGAGGGCTCTGAGGGCGGGCCGCCCCTCTGCAAGATCCTGAACCGCGCGGAGCTCTATGCGGCGGAGAAGGAGAAGAAGAAGAAGAAGCGGGATTCGGCCAAGGAGGGGAAGGTCAAGGAGCTCGAGATGAATTGGGAGATTGATAAGGGGGATGAGCGCACGAAGATGAAGAAGTTGGGGGAGTTTTTAGCGAAAGGCTGGAAGGTGGAGTATACGATTTCGAAGAAGAGGAGGGGGAGGCAGGCGGAGGAAGATGAGTGCGAGGCGCTGGTGAAGCGGTTGAGGGAAACGCTGGCGGAGGGGGGTTGGAAGGAGTATAAGCCTGCGGAGGGCAAGGTGGGTGGGGTATTAGTGATTTATTGTGAGGGGAAGAAGAGTAAGAGTACGGTGGAGAAGGAGAAGGGAACACAGATCCCATTGGATTCAGAGCCTCTTCAAGATGAGGAGACGATCCAGGACGAGGATGATACGGAAAAGTTGGCTGCGGTGGGCGGGACGGCGAAATAGGCTTATGAATACAGGTGTCAAAACTCCTGTTTATATGTATCTTTTCACGGATATACATATCTACATGGGACTATGTATAATAGGAAAATATAGCAGAGCTAGATTCGGAACGCTGTGCAGATAATACATGAAGCTTCTTGAATCGCTTTCAGAAATGCTCTTGGCCTTTATATTGCTCAGGCACCAGATTACTCCAGCCCCAATACAGCCAATGGCTTGCTTGTAATGCCATCCCCATTGCCAAGCGGCATTATTTCGCTTCTCTATGCCTTAATTCCTATCCTACAATGTTTTATGTACGGCCTTCTCTATAAAAAGGCCGCGGCTACTTCTTGAGGAAGTCTACCGCGGAAAATCGGACCCAATTGATAATGTGCTAGGTTGCGTGGGACATTGAAAATCGTGAAGCCTCGGGCCGCGGCCGGCTATTGCGACATGCAACAAATAAAACATTCTCCACTTTCCCATAAATGGGATTACTTAGTTGGGTAGAGCTTTATCTGCTTGCTAGTCTGCTCTATTTATGATTTGAGATTGGACTTTTGATTGGGTCAAGTGCTGGTATTTGCAATGCTATATCTGTTGAACAAGCGCACTTGAATCATCGTTTGAAGAGAGGAGATCATTTTACTATATTATATGCGATGCAAGTCCAAACGTGCCGGAATGAGTCCGACTTGTGCTTAGTCGTACTGTAGTCGTCAACGGCGTCATGAAGTAAATGCCACCTGATCTTATCCTACGAAAGACCGGAAATTTCGCTACTATCCTCGGTCTGTGCAGCGTTCAATCTACTGGTGTATTCAGCCACCGAAGAATTTTTGGAACTGCCAGCTGCCTCGAGGCATACACTGTTACGCCATTGACAGATTTCCGAGGAAAAGGATGGCTCATCTCCGCTTCAGTAAATGCATCGAGGATGGATTCATCTTCAATTTGGGAAAGTAAATTGTCGGCTTTGATGTCTGTAAGAAATTATCAGCAAAGTATTGGAAGGTTTCAACGCAGTAGTTGATCTCAAATTTAGATGTACACTTCTTAGGGGGTAATGGCGGATTTTCTCGCACCTGTATGAACAAGTTTACACTCTGTATGCAGGTAGTCTAGTGCCGAGAATAGTTGTATGAGGGAGATCTTAAAAAGTTCCTCTGTGAAGAGACCGTCCGGAAGGAGATATCTGATGTCCCTAAAGCTTTCCCACATTAGCTTTTGGACGAGACAGATGTGGTCACCACCAGGACGGGGTATTGTCAAGGTTTCTAAAGTGGTCCTGAGATTGGAAGAGCCAGAATGCGAGTAATTGCCTTTGGCCAAGCACTGACAAATTTGAAATTCTGCCTTTCGATCTCCGTCGTGGGTATAGACTTTCAGTGCGACGTGCCCATGCGCTCTAATTTGTTAGTCTTTGAATTATATGATGTGTCGGGTGGCGTGGGACATTAAAAGCTAGGAATGAGTGCCGCTTTCTAAATCCAGCACGAGGAAGCGTGAAGTGATAAAGAGTTTGAAGGTGCATATTTGGCAGGCATTTGATGGGGAAGGCTGTAAAGTTATATAGGAGTTAAAAAAAAACTTAAGTCTAAGAGCTTTATGTAACATCCTAAATCACAAACTCTGTTTTCGAGTTTGAAGCTGCCGCTGTTTCAAGGCCCCCAAAGGTAAATGTGTCAAAGAACCATATCCAGTGGGACGTTATAAGTTCGCCTTTTTTCCCCCCTGTGTTGCCCCTCAGCTTCTACTGCCATTTCAGCCTGCTGCCCAGAGTAAATATGCTGTTCAATCCAGCGACCATGTCCCCGAAAGTTTCATAGAGCTCAAAATGTGTGGACAGAAATCCCCATCATTCAACCAGCGGAGGAGCCTCCTTTTCAAATTAGAATCCGCGGGCAACTGGTTCCAATAGCCGATCGCTGGAATAATGCCATTCGCGTACCTCACCAGGTCTGCCAATAATCTTATAATATCCATGATGCGGCCCCTGCACCCAGGACAAGGGCGGAAACTCTGATGCTCGTTGTTACATGGAACCCGACAGAGACATTGGCCCGAAAATAGAGTTGCAACTATTCGTATCAAATCAATATTCCTCTCGCAGCATGAGGGGAGATATCGGCGCAACGTCCTGTCAAGAGCTCGATATCTATCTTCATAGTGACATTCCAGCAGTTCCAGGAACTCGAGTAGGTGATGACACGTATCGCGTGGATATATGCAGCACCAATCGGAAACACATATGTTCTCCTCATTCCAGAGCCGTCTTGATTCCCACTCCTTCATCTGAGACAGACGGTCTAGAGAGACGAATCTTATCAGAAGGTTCTTTGTAGGGCGGATAAATCCCCAAGCGCAAATCTCAAGCTCCTCCCAGGCTTCTAATAATTCATGACCCATCGCCGATAGCTGTGTAGGGGAAGAATACGACCATTTATCTGCCAATCCCCTTTCGCATATCTCCCACGCCTGAAACTCCCCTGGGTTCTGGTCAACTTCTCCAAGAAAGACGTCGAAGTTGTTCAGTGTATCGATGACGGTGATAGATTCTAACCCAGGAAACCTTAGAAGTGCGTGAGTCGAGGGCAGAGGTATCAATGTTCTTCTCCCCTCGTCGGTTCCAGCATCATTCTCATTATCCTCATTATCCTCGCCGTCATCCGTGGTTGTACTAGATGCCTATGTACAGAACTGATCAGCATCACTTGTCTTTAACTTCTAATTCGTGTCGTGAAAATGGACGATGCGAAGGATGAGTTCTCTACTCAACTTACACTCTCGCTACTTGAGTCGGACTCGTACATGGGGTCCGGCATATAGATGAGGTTTTTATAAAAAGCCAGGTTATGGTCTGATGCCAAGTGCTTGACTTTTTGGGTATCTTGAATACCAAGTGCCGTGAAAAGATACCCGGGATTGCAACACTCGACATTTCCGGCCCCAATATACAAGGTATCTATTTTGAAGTCGAAGTATATCAATGGTTCACAATTGTCGTCACCAAAAGCTAATTGATAATGCTTGAGGGCAAAATATCTTGCTTCCTGATTGAGGTGGAGCAGAACCGGGATTGGTGTTGTCGAACGGCAGACCCCAGTTCTACGGTTGAAGAGGATCTCTACAACGCGAGGTGGGATACAAAGGTTCCAAACCATAAGCCGGAGGTCGAAGGGAAGTTTGTTGAATAGTGTGAATCCTTGAATATGCGGGTTGGCAAGCTCTTGGGTACGTGGGGTATATGTCTCACAGAGCATATGGTGCATTCCGTTGGGGAGAGTTTTGTAGGGCGATCTGCTCTTTGCTATTCGAAGTATCAGCAATCCTTATTTTCCTGAGTAGATATTCAATGCCACAAGAGGGATGAAATTAAAAAGAAACTAACTAGTGGGAAGGCAAAGTCCACCATGTTTGGAAACCCATTTGGGCACAAATGGCTTACGCTCTCGAGGCGATGAATTTGCCATGGAGGAAATTTGGGTCTTTCTCAAAATGTAGATGCGTTTGATCCTTGAAGAACAACGTTGTCTCCCAAAAAAAAATGGGGATTGTCTGATAGAGAGAAATGTCGTGCTTTCCTCGAATTATCCTGGTGATGATGTGGGCTCAAGATGCTTAGTTGCTGTATTTTGAAATGAGTTTGTGGGTTTGAAATAGATAGGTTGGATGTAATGCAGTTTTGTATTATTCGCAAGCGTGTTCGCCGTTCCTTCTTTGGTAGCGAGGCGGATAGGGGGAGCGAGCCTCGCCTAATTTGTATTAGCTCCAAACGCAACTACAAGATACCTGGGTACCTAGGACAGAAAAAGAGGCACTACTTGTAATCAGCTTTTAGTGTACCATGTCACCTGTAGTATAAATGAGTGCTGCTTCTAGTACGAGGAAGGATAATGAAGAGTTTAAGGGTTTATAATTGGCGGGCCTTCCCCGGGGAAAGAGGCCTTAAAACACTATAGGAGTTCAGAAAGCTTCGAGTAAGACAAAGGGTTTATAGAGATGTGATTATGCGCGCTACTACAGGCTCATTGCAAGGTAGACTTGCAAGGTTTGTGCGAGACAACGGGCTAAATATTTGCTATTAGTGCTGTCCGAATACTGGACCACACCAAGGGCCTGCTTGGTAGCTTGCGTAGCGTATATGTAAATGCTGCCTCTCCTATGAAGACCCTGTATCTGGGGAGCTAGAGATTTTAGTTGGTGGGTGGTGCTGCTTTAGGTGATTTCCCGAGTATGTCTGTATCATGGTTTGGAAAGGGTCGTGCTCGGAGGTTGGGAATTTCGAGGCCATGAGCGAGGACTTGGCGATGATTGGGAGTATATGGGAATCCTAGGAAATCAAACTTCCCATGAGGTCTAGGACCGTTTGAGGTGGTATGTTGGGGGGTACAGGGTGCGGGGTGCGTCCTTCTTGTTCTGGGGTCAAGTCCCCACTCAACATTTTCTCCCTCCATATGGATAATAAGCCGAGGGGAATAACCCATACCGGTATATGTAAGTGTACTCCCAAAAGGCAAAAACTATATAAAGAAACGTCCCATAGTACGGCTGAATCTACTTGCGGACCAAGAAATAATAAAACATCAAGCGCGCGACAGTATTAGATAAATGCAAAAAAAAAAAAAAATTAGGTTAGGATACCCCTAAGCAAGCTTAACGATTAGATTTTTCAAAACCCTAAACCAGTACACCATTACACATTTGATGTATTTTGCGTTACGTTAATTCAATTATATATACCTACTACCTTACCCTCGGCCCGGCTGCTTGGTGAATAGACGGAGGACAACCAATCCGCGGCCGCTCTTTTTAGTAAAAGTGGTTTTTGACGCGAAGTGCAACAAAACATTCCAGTTTCCTCTCTAAGGCGTCTTTTTGTAATTCACTGTGAAGGAAAGCGCTGTGAGCCTGTGGATGACTATTTCCTCATGGATTGGGGGTTATGACCCAGTTATGGAAGCGCAGGTTTCTTTTTTGTCTCGATAGTGGATAGTGGAGTGACCTACCTAGTGCTGGCATGTATGGAATGTTTGTTCTTGCGGCGATATTGGCAATGGTCACCTAGATGTAATTTATGTTACTGATTTCTGTTGGGTGGAAAGAAAGGGTGCGGGAATTGTAACTCCCTTTAGATCACTACCTTAGGTATACCTGTCTACCTTCCGCAGCTTCAGCTTCGCGCTAGGACCTGTAGATCTTTCCCTCCTACTTAGTGGTTTGGCGTGGGCTAGATACGAGGCCCGCTGGCCTGAATCCAAAATGAGAAGTTGAGGATAAAATCTAAACACTTTAGGTAGCATCTGAATTATATCCAAAACTAGAATTTCGTGCAGAATACGTAATTGAGCACACTAGAAGACTTTGAAACCCATAGAAACAAAGCAGCAATACAAGCATTGAGAAACCCGCGGATTATTTGCAAATACTGAAAGAGGGAAGTCGTTATTATCCCAACTAGGGCACCTCAGAACAGATTTCGAGAATAAAAGCTGATGAAAAAGTCTCAAAGTGCCATCATACGAGTAGAAGGTGATACCTAACTCTAAGTGTCCGACCTTTCAGACCTAAAAAACCCTCACAACTATCAGTACAACGTGTGATATCCGACCATTCGACGTGGTATATTTCCCAGCCCCAACTCCATGCGCTATGCAATTTATAGTCTTCTATCAAAATGGTTTCGCAACCTTCCGGCTCTCACTTGCTCCCGTTTCAGGGTCCTTGTACTCTTTCCAGCTAACCGGATACATCGAATTGCCAGCCTCACTGGTCGCCATGATAACACCCAGATTATTGCTTGCTGTCGAAAGATAGTAATTGGATTGATCGCCCAGTGAGATCTACCAAGCATTAGCATCCACCACCACCTTTTAAATAAACAAAACCGTGAAAAAGACTTACCACAACAGCCCTCACAATATCCCCCGGCCTAAAACTCTCAAAAACCTTCACCTTATCCTTCTCCGTCGCCCTAACATCCTGCGCGCGTATCAAGCCCTGCCACTCCCCATCCAGCACCGTCTCACCCACAACCAATATCGCGACGCTCGCCTGTTTCGGCGTGATTCTCGTAACTCTACACAAGACCGTGCTGTTCACTTCAGGCAGAATCTCTTTCCCTTTACTTCCCCCATCTTTATCTTTCGCCGATGTTATGTCGCGCTCGATCGAGATGGTGGGCAGGGGTACTGGAGCTGCGGAGGTGATTTTCGTAGGGCGTTTCTGCGGACCTGCTGGTTTGGAGGGCGCGGTGGTGGTGATGGGTCCAAGGATTGAGGCGTACAGGGAGGCGTGGAGGATATGTGTGCCGGGGCCGGGGAGGTATTCAGAGATTGCTCCTAGGAGCTGGCCTGGGACGGCGATGGGGAGAATTTCAGACATTGTGCTTTGTGGTGGGGGAAGGGGGTCAATGAAGTACCTAGGTAGGTATTGGAGGTGGAGTGAGGTTGAAAAATAAAGTGAGCTTTTGGGGTAAACAAGGAAGGTTGGCCGATGTGGGGCACTACGGTTTGACAGCGGGGTAGCACGTGGGATTACAGTACATGCACATGCTGGCATGGCCTGACGCTCATGCATTATAACAGGAGACGCTGACGTTACTGATAATATAAAAAGACAAGTTAAGTCTGCAGTTTTCACATCTTCAATTCTCAATATTCTACCAACAAATACACACCGCCATCATGTCAGCCAAACACTTCATCAACGACCCCGCCCACTTACTCTCTTCAGCTCTCCAAGCACTTACCTTTACAAACCCCTCTATCGCCCTTGACGTCACCAACAAAATCATATACAGACGCCCCGGGTATGCTTCCCAAGTCTCCATCATTTCCGGTGGAGGAAGCGGCCATGAACCTAGTTTCGGAGCGTTTGTTGGGGATGGGTTACTCTCTGCAGCAGTCGCGGGGACGATCTTCGCTTCTCCGTCGGCAGAGCAAATCAGGAGAGCTATCATGTCACGAGTTGATGGCGAGAAGGGGATCTTGGTAACGGTTATGAATTATACGGGCGATGTGCTTAATTTCGGCATGGGGGTGGAAAAAGCCAAGGCGGCAGGACTACAAGTTGAGATGGTGGTAGTTGGTGACGATGTTGGGGTTGGAAGAAAAGCAGCTGGGAAGGTTGGACGGAGAGGAATCGCTGGAACAGTGCTGGTTCATAAGATTTCTGGTGCGTTGGCTGCACAGGGGGCGAGTTTGGAAGATGTGTATAAGGTGGCGAAGTTGACGGCGGATAATATTGTTAGTGTTGGGGCAAGTCTTGATCATGTCCACGTACCAGGAAGAGCATCCCCCGATCCGAATTCGGAGGAAGTTTTGGCGGATGAGGAGGTTGAGATTGGGATGGGCATTCATAATGAGCCGGGCAGTGGAAGGGCGAAGGTTGATCTTCCTGAGATGGTCAAGAGGATGCTTCTACAGATGCTCGACCAGAAAGACCAGGATCGTGCTTTTTTGAACGTCAATTCAAACGAAATTGTCTTATTGATCAACAACCTTGGAGGCGTCAGTGTCCTAGAGCTCGGAGGCATCACAGCAGAGGTTGTTAATCAACTGGAAAAGACCTACAACATCAAGCCTGTGCGAATCTTAGCCGGAACATACATGACAAGTCTTAACGGCCTCGGCTTCAGCATATCTATCCTTAACGTTGTTAACACGAATATTGGCGGACCAAGCATGTTGCAGCTACTAGATGCTCCATCCGAAGCAGCAGGCTGGGCAGCACCAATCCGGAAAGAGAGCTGGGAAGCAAAGTCGAGCCAAACAAGAGAAGATTCAGCTTCAAGTAGCGAGGAAACTAAGCCAAGTGGGCTGAAACTCAACCCCGAGACGATGAAGACGGTCTTAGTAGCAGCGTTAGAAAGAGTCATTGCAGCTGAGCCAGATGTTACAAAATACGATACGATTGTCGGTGATGGCGACTGTGGTATTGGCTTAAAGAGAGGCGCCGAAGGTTTGTTTCCTTCCCCAAATTGCAGTTGGCATTACTAACAGACTGAAAACAGCTGTTCTAAAACTGATCTCAGACACGAAGCTTTCCGGCGACGCAGTTCTCGATCTCTCCAAGATCATCTATGTTGTGGAGAACACAATGGACGGGACCTCAGGAGCACTCTACGCCATTTACCTCAACGCCCTAGTCCACTCACTCCGGCAAGCCTCAGCAGGAGACGCAACTCCCAAGGTCTGGGGTGCAGCACTAAAGCAGGCCTCAGAAGCTTTCTCCAAGTACACACCTGCACAGCCTGGAGACCGAACGCTGGTCGATGCGCTGCATCCATTTGTGGAGACTCTGAACAGCACTGGGGACGTGAAGAAGGCTGCAGAGGCTGCGAGGAAAGGTGCCGAGGGGACCAAGGGAATGAAGGCTAGTTTGGGCAGGACGGTTTACATTGGTGGATCGGGGTTTGAACAGGTGCCTGATCCTGGAGCCTGGGGACTCAGCGAGTTCTTCCTTGGGCTGGCTGAAATTAAAACGTCGGAGCCTGGATATGAGATGATTTGAGAGGTGAGTAGTTTCATGAGAAAATGATGAGCTTGTAGTATGACGAAAACTCTAGTGTAACAAATAATATGAGGCATGATTTACAGCGTTGTGGGACCTTCATACATCTTCTAGCAAAATGGACGACAAGGAAAGTATTCGGAACGAGAACTCAGATACATTCCCTCACATCAGAACAGAGAGCAATACGACGTTCATTACCCGCACAATTCCCTTGAATCACCAGGTCACCACTAGACACACGAAGCCGGGGGGCAGGTTTAGCTTTTATTCCGGCGTAGCTAGCAATCAAAACGTAGCTACTAGACTCTCTCGATCCATCACTCCCTGTAAAGCATCCCAGATTCATAGACAAAGTGATATTCTTATTCAACCACCAACTCTTTTCAACGCCGTTGTCTTTCTTGCCATTTATTTCCAGAGAAACCCACTGCTAACCCTCATAAACCTTCCAAGTTACCTCAAATCGACCGTTCAGCTCAGAAGTACCAAGATGACTGAATCACCTCTCAAGAACCTATTCACACCAAAGTCAGCCCAAATCCTCAACATTTCCCTTCACAGCAACACCCAAGAGTTCATATCCCCCATCTCAAACCCGATTTTCGTTTTCTGGGCAGTGTCGGTGTACTCACATCTTACTAATAAACCGATCCTTATTGACCGCCCTACCCTTCTTTCCCCCGCTTCCCCGCGGCGTCTCCGTCCACATCTCCTTCACATTCTCCAATACCATATTGCAATGCCGATCAAACGCCTTGACTCGCGCCAACAACTTCCTGTTGTTACGGCAGCTGATCAGCACTTGTGTGTGCGAGCGTACTGCGGTTTGCAGGATAGAGAGGGGCCCAGAAGTGAATTCGTGTTCTTCGAGTTGGGCGACTTCGAACTCGCTGTAGGGGTAGGGTTAGCTAGGTAGATTGGGGAAAGGAGGGGTGGTGGAATTGGAGGGGCGGGGAGGGCATGGCGTACGTGAGTTCGTTGCGGGGTTTGTTGAGAAGTTCGCTGGGATGAATATGTTAGCATTTGAGAGTGTATGCATTTATTGGGAGGGGAGCATACGTGATCTTTGCGTCCGCCATTTTGTCGTTGTCTTTGCGTTGTCCTTGACACGCGCGCTTCAACTTTTCGTGCAGCCTTCTACTCAAAAGTTAAGCTTGTCGTTATGCTACCTCACCTAACATGGTTTAGCGCCAACCTTAAATTCTCAAGTCTCAATTGAGCCTTACCGACTCAGGCCGAAACTTGACCCGAGGTCGACTGATAAAATAGCTTAAGCTCGGTATTTACTCCGCACTCTTTTGTATTACTCACCGCACCTTTTCTTTGGGGTCTTTTCTTGTACTTGATTCTTTTTCTTGATGTTTGCAAGGTCATTTGTGGGTAGAACGGCGGCGGTACGCTGTGCTTGTTCGAGAAAGATGCCGCTCACAGCTAAGGTTATGAATCCTGCTTTTACTGGCAGCACCAAAGCGAAGGTTCATGAGCTTCCTACTCTGAAACTGTCGTACCGGAAAACTGATGAACTGGCAGATGTCTACCTCAGAAGCACCCGAGCAGATCAAAGAGCTACCCGGCGACGAGAAAGAAGACGTGCTTTTCGATACCCTGTTCGGTCTGCGGACAATCGAGCTCAACCGGCCCACAGCACTGAACGCCCTTAACGGATCGATGGTGCGGAAGATCGTGCCCCGGTTGCAGGAATGGGCGAAATCGGATATGGCGAATGTGGTGGTCATCAAGGGGGCTGGCGAGAAGGCATTGTGTGCCGGTGGAGATGTGACAAGTCTCGCAAAGGACAATAAGCTTGGGGAAGAAGGACAGCAGCGGTCAATCGATTACTTTGCGCAGGAATACAAGCTCGATCACCTTATTGCTACATATACCAAGCCGTATGTTGCTATTATGGATGGGATTACGATGGGCGGAGGAGTTGGGTTGAGTCTGCATGCGCCGTTTAGGATAGCGACCGAGAAGACGCTTTTCGCTATGCCAGAGACTACGATTGGATTCTTCCCGGACGTGGGAGCTTCGTTTTTCTTGCCGCGGATGGCGGGCTCTACCGGGACGTATCTTGCTCTTACGAGTGAGAGGCTGAAGGGCGTTGATGTCTACTATGCTGGAGTTGCGACACATTACATCCACTCGACTTCCTTGCCTGCTCTGGAACGCCGTCTCGCTGAACTGAGGTTCAAGGATTACCATTCGTTGGATGAGCGGTTGGGCCTCATTGATTCTACCATTGAGGAATACACGACCGGGCTGCCACACGACCAGCCAATGCTTCTCAGTGGCCCATTACGAAAGTCTATCGATGCTTGTTTTAGCGCAGATACCGTCGAGGAGCTTATTAAAAGACTCAGCAAACAGGCGGCGAATAATAGGTCTAACGCACAATGGGCCGAAAAGACTCTCCTCGCTTTGAAGTTGCGATCACCAACGAGTCTACATGTGACATTTCAACAGATGAAGCTGGGTCGGAAATGGTCCATCAAGGAGGCTTTCCAGCGAGAACACCAAATTGCGTCCAAATTCATGCGTCATCCCGATTTCACCGAAGGAGTGCATGCGTTGCTCATCAGGAAAGATAAATCACCAGCTTGGGCGGAGCCATCCAAGCTCGAGGACGTGAAGGATCCTGCTGCTCTCACGACACCATTTTTCGAAGTCGAGGAAGGTAAAAGGTTGAAATTGCTTACCGAGGGAAACTATAATGAGTATCCTCATTGGCGTTTCGGCCTGCCCCATGAGAGCCAAATCGAGGAAGTCGTCAAGAAAGGAAGTAGGACTATTCCGGAGGTGGTAAGCTATTTTGTCAGGGAGAAGCGAGGCAAGCAAGGCGTAAAAGAAGTTGTGGAGGAAGTGTTGGCAAGACGTGCCTACTCTGCCGAGGGTGGCAAAGCTGCTTGGTTGTGATCGAGGGGCATTGATTGTACGATACTGTAGTAAAGTGGCAATACGGAGTATCGGATCTTGACGGAGATAGTCGATGTTGATATGTTGCCGGTCGCAAAAAGATAATATGAACAACTAAGGGGAAAGACATCATGTGATTTAAGGGGGTTTGAGGCATCAGTCTAAAGCGGGGCTGAGTCATGGGAAGCGGGGGATTATCCGTGTTATGCCTGCCGAAACTATATAAAGGGAAGCCGCCCCCGCCCGAATATGATTCATTTTCATCGAGCTGGTGTGCTGCCTTTTCGTTCTCACATCAAGATTCTGTTTACGGAAGACGAAAGCGACCTTTAGCGCCAATATAAAACGTGGTTGCCTCATTGCATCCTGAGGCATTAGCTAGCAAAGAACCTCGGCGCTAAAACGGGATACGCTAATCCGTTTGGCGATCCTCCCCTCCTGCGCGACGATTGGTCAATTTTGATCTTTAATCAACAGACATACAGACAACTCAGCAATCGTAAACGCCCTTACTTCGATACAACTAATCATTGTGTTTCGATCTTCCTTTAACAGGCCCTTTCAGCTTTAGTCCTCGGAAAGGGTAGAAACTCATTACAGTACAGTCTCTGGATCCATTCTTCTGCTGTCCCGTCGCGTAACCTGCGCGAAAACGCGAGGGCCATGTACATTTACTAGCTAGCCACCGCATTTCAAGGTTCTCTTTCACTTTGACCCTCTTTCAACGACTCCACCGCGCCAAACTTCCTTTCAATGACTTTACATATTTTTCCATAACAACGAAGGAGCTTCACGACATCTCTAAATCTTTCAATTCTGGCATTGCGGTCAGTGAAAGGCTCGCGATGTCGTCTCCAGCGGGGATGCCCCAGGGATTTGCTCCTCAATTGCCAAGTGCAGAGTCTCAAGGGTCTACGGCGAACATGAACAGCAGTGCTAATGAAGATGGGGTTTCCGTCAAACCGATGAGGCGTACGTGTTATCACTTGAAATAATGTGGAGGTCCAAGTACTAATCCATTCTAATTCTACAGTCAAAGTCCTATACACCTTCGACGACCAGAACAAGACCAATTGCTTGGCACGATGGCCTCCTGTTTTGCAGGTCCAAACTGTCGCCATGGACGAGACAACCTCAATCGGAGTCATCGAGCTAAAGACCTGTATACAAGCAATTGTTACTTGCAGTCCAGAGCTGGTAGCTAGACTAGGCCAGGACTACACCGTTTACGCGTACGATTACTCCGAATATGATAACCCTCTCGTGGGACAAGGCATGTTATCTTGGGCTCTAGCGGCAGCGTCTACATCCCCAGATGTGCCTGCTCACCAGTCGACCAAGCTTGTTACTGGACGCGTTTGCAAGAATATCATGGGGCTTTTTTCGAATGGTGTGAAGGAGACTTTGGAGGTCAAATTACGGCTTGTACCGGTTCCTACGGTGCTACAGAGCGAATATATCTCGACTATGGAGAAATATAGGGAGTTGAGCAAGGTCATGCCAGCCGGGTTTGACCCCAATGAATGGACCTCCTTCCTACAGTCGAATCCGAGTCTTGGTCAGCTGGCAAAGGCCACACCAGCACCAAATCAACCAACGCAAAGTCAAAGAGATGGTTCTAGTATGGATCTCTTCAATCAGCTTCTCAGTCCAAGTCTAGAGCAACAATCGAATCCGAACGTGTACGACCAACCCCCCAAATGGTGAATACAGGGAATGAGAGCCAAAATGAAAGTGCCGGGCCAGCCAAGAAGGGATCACGGCCTTCGTCGAGAGCTGCTGTCAAGAGGCCGAGAAAGCCGCGTCAGCCTAAAAACATTGTGTCAAAGGGTGGAAACACTTCTGGGTATGAAGAGGGTACAGATGGAGATGATGGGCCACAACCCAAGAAGAGGGCAAAAATCACCAAGACGGACTGGAATAGTAAATCAACCATCGGAGCAGCACCAGACTCCCTTCGAGTGGCCGCTAGCACTGCCGGATCCTTACGGCTCTTCAGACCTATTGCGATGAGCCCCGTACCCGGTGTAGGCAGCCATCTCCAGGAAATACCCCGAGCACCTACCCCAGTACCCAGAATGGCGAATCAGCACTCACATCGTGATCCTGATAAACCTCCCCCGCAGAGTTCTCTCCGCCGTAACTCATTTCTTGAGCATTCCCAAATAGAGGCGCCACGTCGGCATGTGTCGCCATATCCACCTCTCGAAAACCCAGAAGATCAACCTAGATATTCTATCGAATCGGCAAATGTTTCACCTGAACGAAACCCAAGCCCTTCGGATACGCCTCCTGATATCGGTTCCTCACCACCTGTAATGAGAACTAGAGCCCCTTCTATGCGATCTAGTCCGCCCTGTCCTTCTAGTCCTGTTCTACCTCAAATGCCACGAACGGACTCTGGATTCATGAGTGGATCGCTGGAAGACCTCTTTGGAGAAGATTACGGTGCGCCAATGCACCCTGTGAATGAAGACCTGCCTGGACATGCCGTTCCCGATTTCCATAAGCATCAAGCTCCTACCCAAATGGCACCGCATGAAGACTCTGGGTTCTTTATTGAATGGGAAGAGCCTGGTCCGATGGAGTTATTGCCTACTAAGATGCACATCCATCCTGCTCCAGTCCGGAAGTCTACACCCAAACCGAGAGCCTCGTCGAAAGCACCTAAACCTCGAGCTGGGAGCGTCATGTCAGAGGATGGACAGCAGTCTCTTCCGCCATTAAGAAAAGATAGCTGTGCTATCTCTCGTCCTCCATCGCAGCCGCAGCAGAATCCACAGCCCTCAGTTCTGTCTCGCCCAGTTTCTAGGGGCTCACAAACTAAAAGTCCCGCGCCGCAGCAGAGAGATCCTCGCCCAGACCAGGAACCCAGAATTCAATCTCGACCAGGCTCACGGGACTCTCAAGGCAAGACTCCAGTATTGCAGGATCGAACTTCTCAGCCACCTGAGTCTAAAGCCCTTGCCCAGAATCAAGACCAGGCTACTAAACCTCCTTCAGTGCCTCGAGCACGGGCCGGAAGAACAATGAGTCGTACAGCTTCGATGGGAAGCCTCCATCTTCCAATAGTTCCCGCAAGTGATCCAGCAATACCTCCCTCCGGACTTCAGCGGTCTCAAACATGGTCTGAAGCACCCATAACTTCCATGTCCGCAATAGCACAAACATACCTTCATGACCCTGCATCACAAGATACAGAGTACGACAAAGGTTCTCTGTCCAAAAAAGCGTCAATAAGGCATAAACTAGAGCAGGCAATTGCGAAAGGGGAAATGCCTCCATACTGCAGTAATTGTGGAGCAATCGAGACCCCCACCTGGCGGAAGGCTTGGTATCAGGAACATGACGGAAATCCTGGATATCACGATTATTCAGAAGCTGCAGGCAGGGTGACCTGTATCAACGTACTTAACCGCGATAGCGACGGAAAACCAACGTCTTACCAGCTCATCAAGAAGTCTTTAGGGAAGGATGACAGCGTCGAAGACTACAAAGAATTTCTTCTATGTAACCGTGAGTCTGAAGATCGCATATTATTAAAGATCAACACTGAAAATTTATAGCTTGCGGGATCTGGATGGCTAAATACAAAACACAACGGCCAGAATCGCAATGGGTCTCTTACCAACCCGTTCCAAGAAAGGGTGCAGACCCTCCCCCTAAAAGACAACGACCTCCCAAGAAATCACAACAGAACCCTAGTCATGGGATACTTACCTCGGAAGCCAATTTCCCCACATCAGACGCCAACTTCCCACAATCAGAAGCCAATTTTCCCCCTTCAGATGCGTACCAAGGACAAGGTGCTCCGACAGAGGGTAATTCTCCGACCGAAACGGAGATGCAGACAGAATCAATGGAGCTCTCTGCGGGCAACCACCGCCGGCGATCGACTAGTAATCAACCATTAAAACGAGCGTTGAAGGCAATGACATCTGATGCTGCCTCGGCTGCTTTGGCCCGAGCCATCCAATCGAGCCCGGGGAGATGGCATGGGACCCAACAAAGCCCGATTGATGTTGAAGATCAATTGGGATCTACTAGAAGATTACTCTTCCCGTCACCGAGAAAAGACGGGTCACCGAAAGTTTTGGGAGAGGTGATGACGAATGTCGTACAAATCGCTACTGATTTACGCCCATTGAACAAAGAAGCACTGGTAGCACTTATTGAGGCGACCGACAAGGAGAACTGTCCTCCGGGCATCGAGGTCGCCGATGCTGATGCTGAACTTCTAAGACTTTTTGAAGAGGAAGTTGCTCGACCATCGACGCCTACCCAGAAATCGCCACCAACAAATCCTTTCAAAACCCCGACCCGGAAGACCCCAAGCCACAGACCAATCACACGAAGCGTCTCAAAGTCCTCCCGCTCACAGAAATCGCCCAGAGAACTACTATTTGCACCCACCCCCTCCAAAACGCCCATTTCTCTCCGACGCTCACCGCGCTTTCAAAATAACTTCGAGTCTCCCTTCACAGCCCGACTAAACCAAATGATGTCGGAAACCAATCAATCTCCCTCGCGTGCACTCGAATTTAGCAGTCTCCCCAACCTACCGAACCTGATGGCCAATGGCACGGAAATGAATTTTAATCTGGAGGATTTCTTCTCGACGGATGTCCCGATGCCGAGTTCGCCGCCGAGGATTTTCCAGCTTTATGAGGACCCTATGGTGATGCAGGATATTGATTGGAGTGAGTTGGGAAATTATGATGGGGGTGAGGAGGGGGAGAATAATGGGGTTGTAGTTAAGAAAGAGCTGGAGAGCGAGGTGGAAGGTGCGGAGAAGACTGGGGAGTCTTGAAGTGTTGCAGAGGGCAACAGACAGCAATAGGAGGGCCATGTTTTTCATTGTATTGCATTCCATAGCGTGGTGTTGGATCTGTTTCTGGGTATATCAGGGCATCTTACAACATGGCGTCTGAGCATTTTAGGAGGCGAAGAACGAATTTCAGGCAAATGATAGCTATGATAGGAATGACCTATCTATAAGCAAATATCAAGAAGATATCAACAAGAAGCCTTGGTTATTATAACGTTAATTCTCGTGATTCATTCGTTTTGCAAGTGTTGTATGCCACCCTGCCTAGAAGCCCATATCATATCATAACACGCCCAACAAGTGGTCCACGTCCATTCTACAGCCAAAAGTTATCCATGCCATATCATCTTTATCCATCCAGCTCTCACATCATGTATGTGATATCCCATCGCGCGCCCACTAGACACATATTTTCTTCCCAATTCTCTCTCACACAAGCAAGCCACTCCGCCCTTCCTTCAGTCCGAGTAGAAGATCTCCTTATATCGATGCGTAGCATCGACCAGCGCCTCTGCAGCCGCAAAATCTACATCCCAATCAACATCAGCATTTGTCCTCCCATTTATCCCTTCTTCATCATCTCTCCAGTCAGTTACTTGAACTCACCAAACTCCCTCTCCGCCCCAAAATCCGTACTCTGCAGCACCCGCACACTCAAATCCCCCTGCACCTTCCCCACAATCTCCACCGCGTGTCCGACGCTCAAATGCGCATCCCGGTTCAGGATCGCTGTGACGGTGCCCTGCGCATCTATAGTTGCGGTTTCGCCGCGCAGTTGTGTGACCCGGCCTATGAGGCGGATGGTGCGGTTTTGGAAGGCGTCGAGATGTGGGGCTAGGATGCGGGGCGTGGAGGGGGTGTCTGCCATTTTATCAAGAAGGGGGGGTGTTGGTTTGTTTGGGAGGGGATGGTTGGTGGATGGGCTGGGAAGTGGAAGTGGAAGTGGAGGGGGGGAAGGCAGGAGAGGGGAAATATTCAGAGGAAGACGCGAAGGAGACGCGTCGTTGAGATTGGTCAGGTGCTCAATACGGTACGCTGGGAAGATAGGGGGTGCAGATTCAGGGTTAGCGAAGGCAGGGCGCGCATTAGTTGTTGCGGAAGCAGATTTCTAATTCTTCGAGGTTTTGCCTTCATGAAGATAGGTATATAGTATGTTGAAAGATCTCAATAAGGGGAGATGATTTTTTTTAGGAGGGGGGGGGGGATTCTGAGGTATTGTGAGCTTCTACCTATTCAAGCTCACCGAGGAAAGCTCTGAATGATTGGCCAGTGACTACAATTTATCGCTGATATAGGTAACAGTGTGGAAGAAAAAGAAGTTAACATGGATCGGAGTAAGCATCTAATTGATCTGCTTAAACAACCCTTAGGTAGTTGAATGACCTCAATTACAAACTTTGTCAGATATTCGATACTTGGCACATTAGCACCGAGCAAAAGGGCTAACTGGATGGTTTAGAATTCTCTTCTCTTCTCAATATTCAGATATTTGATCACATATCATAAACCTAAACTATATCGTTGTTCTGCCATGTTTATTTATGCCCAACCTGTTCCAAGTGGCATCCAGGATCTGATTTGGCAATGGAAAGTTTGGAGAATGGAAAGGAATCGGTAGCTGAAGCATCTTTGTCTGAAAAGGTCTTAGAAATGATATGGCCATAAAATAGAATCTGGCAATGTTTAGCTTACGGATTTGAATTTCGAGGTGATGGCCTGCAGAAGATGGGTTATGACTTTTCTGGGTTGTGAACGCGCTGTGCTTTGATTTTCTTGAGATTGTGGGACGTATCCAATCCACTTTACCCCTTTTCGTCCTGGGCAAAAAACGTACCAACGTTCCAGGCTGAGTGGTGCATTCAAAAGCTGCTACGAATGAGTGCCGCTTTTTTCATCCTATCAACCGCGAGCTTCCAACATATGAGATACTAGTGCCCAGAGCATGTGAGAAAGTCAGGCGAGAATGTGAGACTATCGTAATGCAAAATGTAATCAGTAATATTGACATTTTATACAGATCAGTTGTGTCTCTCTAATACAGCTAATATACAATACCTATACAGCAGCTCTAACCTTTGACATCAGATCACTCTGATGATCCTTCAAGAACCTATCCAACGCCCCCTTCTCAATAATAATCCTCCCCAACTCCAACAGATCCTTCACGTCAACCTCATGCTCCATCTTCACCCTCCCATCCTCCCCAGCATTTTCTAGCGCCTTGTACAAATTCTCGCTTTCCCCAGCCGTAATTAACAAGCTCCTTCCATCCTCCTTTCCCCAACGATTATGCTTAAAAATTGACTTCACATACTTTGTACCCGCCTGCTCAAGCTCCATCCCATCCTCGCAAATGATCAAATCTCCCTTCCTGTACCGCCAGCTCAGCGCCGTGCGCCACGCCAGATCATACATCTTGCGCGGCAGCTCAGTGGAGAAGTCGCGAGGGCGAGGACCGAAGACCTTTGCTCCGCCTTTTAACATGGGCGATTGCTTGGTGCCTAGACGCGCCTGACCCGTTCCTTTTTGTGGCCGGATTTTGCGGTGCGAGCCGTGAATTTCCCAGCGGGTTTTCGTGTTGGCTGTTCCTTGGCGTGTGCCATCACCTTCGAAGACTACGGCGCGGTGCAGGATGTCGCGGCGGAGGGGCAGGTAGAGGTGTTTGCTCGAGTATGATTCGAATCGGATGGGCTCCATGGTGGGGAATTTGTAGATGGTGGTTAACACTGTGGGTGCTGTGGAATATATTAGCTACTGGGCAAGAAGAGAGACTAGAGTGGGACATACGTGAGAATGCCTCTGTATTTGCAGCATCTGGGAGGGATGTAATGTCATATTCTGGGGATAGCCTCGATAGTAATGAAGTCTCTGTTGCCATTGACCTCGATAGTCGCGGTGCAAGACATTGCTGCAATAATATATTAGCTTAAATCTTGGATGTCGAGGGCCAATGCATACCGTTAATGGATCTTTAGAGCTTCCAAATGCTCGCAGAGTCTTCGCGCTCCTTGAGAAGCTCTGCAAACCCTTTGACGCCATGATTGCTGTGTTTGGGTTTCTTCTTGGGTCGGAGGTTGTCGTCAAGAAAATGTAGCGGGAAGCGGAGCGGGAAGTGAAGTTCTCGGTGAAACCTTTTTCCGACATTGGACAGCTTCTAAAAGATTTCAGGAAAATCAATCACAACTTCACCATCCAACAATGTCTGCATGTCAGAAGGCCACCAGGCCATTGGCCAGATGTCTGCAGAATACAAAGTCACTGCCCCAAGCTACCAGAGCAGTTCGAACATTTACGAGCTCTACGCGCCAAAATGAGGAGGTTGCCGTCGAGGCCACGAAAGCACCAAAGGTCTGGGATCCGGAGACAGTCACATCTAGAAAGGGAGAGAGGGCATTGATGAGGAGTGGTGTCATGCCAATTGGTTCGAGACGTCGTCGTGCTGCTTTACAATTCTCCGACAACATCCCCTTTGAGCAGTTACCGTACCAATGTTTCCAAGAAGCACTCCAGGTTCTGAGGGAAGATAGGACAGAGAAGCTGGAGCAGATCAAGACCGAAAGGCTACGGATATCGAATCTGATGGCTCAGGATGCATCGAAGATTAAGGGAGGAGAGGTGCAGAAAGAGAAAAGGCTGGATAGTATGAGGAGGTATCTGGAGAAGTTGAAGATAGATGCGGATATCAATGATCCCCTGATCAAGAAACGATTTGAGGACGGAGATGGTACGTGAGATCTGGTGAAGAACTAAATCCAAATGCTGATTCTTGCAGGTGATATGAACAAACCCATCTACCGCTACCTAGCAGACAAACAATGGCGAAAGTACCAACGACTGCTCATCCTCCAGCGTATAAAGCAATTCAGCGTCGTCCCCGACGTCCTCCCCCATTTCGAACCCACGGCCGATGTGCGTCTAGCTTTCAGAACGCGCAGTGTGCAGCACGGGGAATTCGTCGATTCCCGAGTCAGCGAAGTCCCCGCGCGGTTGAAGGTACAAGTCTTCGATAAAGGAGAGAGACTTGTCAGCATCGTAGTGATAGACTCGGATGTACCACTTGCGGAAAGTGAGAACTTTTCATCGCGCTGCCATTATCTTGCCACAAACATCCCGCTTTCTCCCGTCATCAACTCGATACCCCTATCCAAGATCTCAACCGAGTCAGTGGTAGTACCTTGGTTGCCACCTTTTGCACAAAAGGGATCGCCCTATCACCGCTACTCGGTCTTTGTGCTACAGCAAAAGGCAGGCGAGACGCTGAACGTAGCGGAACTTAAAGAGAAGGTCCAACAAGACGGTTTCGCCCTGCGAAGTTTCCGGGACAAGTACAAGCTCGATCCTATTGGGATGAGCATCTTCCGCAGCGAATGGGATGAAGGAACTGCTGGTGTTATGGAGCGGGCAGGCGTTGAAGGTGCGGATATCGAGTTCAAGAGAAAGAAGGTCATAGCTCTCAAGCCAAAGCAGAAGGCGAGGGGTTGGGAGGCAAGACATTCGAGCACGAAGTATAGGCAGTTGTGGAGATGATGTGTATGAAGTATGGGAGGGTGTATCATATTTGTACTATGTAATGCAGCGCCAGTGTTGGACGGATAGAAGACTCTCAATGTACATGTTCCATGTATGCCTGCCAGTGTTGGGTAGCCTGCCCTTCTGTCTCCAGAAAAAGATACCTTCAAGACTATCCCAGTCGGATTTTTCTTATACGTCAAATGTATATATCTGCATTTTGAAATTCTATTCTGCTTCACAATCTTCATAATGCAAGTCTTCATTCAGCCAGATTTCAATACTATAATTACAGGTGGTTATTCTTAGCATGCATCATTAATTCGATGCCTCAGTGAATGCCAGTTACAGCGGAGCGAAAGAAACCAAAAGCCATTCTTTCAATGATCAGTTCATCCATGCGCTGCACCCCCTCAAGGCGAACAATCCAGATAAGAACATCTACACTTAGGTGGTGTTTGCGGTCCAAGTATTCGTCGACACACGTCGTGTTTTTGGAAATGAATAGGGTCAATTAAGACCTCGATGAATTAAGCTCAGGAGCTTCGGAAGTGGGTGTCAGCAGCAGTCTGTCCTGTCTGATCAGACTAGCAATGTCAAGGGGTTCTGCCAAGTCAATTTGGATCAGATGTCTGCGTTGAAGCATGGCAGCGTAGATCGAGTCCACCGCGTCAATGTGAACAAGAATCAGCAAACATCACTCACCTATCGTCATTTCTTTAACCGACCTTGCTTAGTCCGTGTTTTACTCGGGGAAACCTATACTTGACCAAAAATATACTGGTGTCAAATTTTGATCTTAAAAGGAAGACAGAAGAGGTTTCATAGCTTGAGCGAGAGATTTTGAATCACCGAGTGATAGTCTAGTCAGTCTGAGCCACCCAGTATGCGAACGGCGTCTCATTTTAAGATACCTAGGAATAAGTGATAGGGGAGAATGTCCAACCATATGTGGAAAATTGGAAATTCGGCCGTATTTGCATTGAACAAAAAAGGAACTTTTAGCCTAGCTGCTTCTTATACCAAGTATTCGACGTCGTTTTTCATACTTAGATCAAACTCCCAACTCCAGCTATGCGTTGCCATATGCTAAACGCAATCCATCTATCTGTGTAATTACAAACAACACCAGTAAATCAACATCTAGCTTTTGCCTCTCTCTCAATAAGGAGGTAATCGTTCCGTCAAAAACGCCGGCACATTCCAGCTCTTGACCGCGAGACCCGTCACACACAGCGCCAGAACCGCGGTATACATGATAATAATCATCACCTTCCTGACAAACCTCGGACTCGGCAGGATCTCATCCCCATCGCCCCACATCCTCTTGGCGGCCGCGCAATAAGTAACGATGCCATCATACCCAACGCCGAAATAAATAAGTCCAATGGTCGCAATGGCGTAGCCGAAGAGTTGCAGAGGCGTTATGATGGTGCCCCAGAAGATGACAGAGGCGACTACAAGTAGGATGTTTTTGAAGACGCCGCCGAGGATCATTACGAGGCCTGAGGTCTTTCCAATCTGGAGAATGTGTTAGTTGGTTACCTAGTTCGCAGGGAGGAATAATGCAAAACAAAGAACGAAAGTAAAACTCTTGAACTTGAATATTCTTTTCCAAAGCGACGAGTAGAAAGCATTCCATTCTTACCAAAAAAACACTCGCGACATTCAGCAAAAAAGCCACCGCCGCATTACACAACAACACCCCAGCCCCAACCCTCCACACATCCGCCAGCCCAAACTCCCCCGCCTCTGTCGCCGCCGCCACGAGGAAATTCATCGCCGTACACACCGGCGCATAATAATACAGCGACACCAGCGGATCCATATTCTGGCCCTGTCCGCTCAGCAGAATCTGGATCATGATGACTTTGATCGATTCCGAAAACACCCCGCCGGCCTGGTACAGGAAGCCGATCCAGCTAAACCTGATCTCGCCGAAGCTTGCCAGCGCGACACCGAAGCCGATGGCTAGAACGTTGATGAAGGTTTTTAATTGCGGGCTTTCGACACGGAAAGCCCAGGATGTGAGGAGTACGGCGATGGGGGCGCTGGCCTATGGTTGATTATTGGGTTAGCGGGTTTTGGAGAAGTTGGGTGGGGAGGGGGATTCTTGAGTGAAAGGGAGGGAGAGGAAGAGGTAGGTACTTACTTTGAGCATTTGGATAAATGCTACGCTGAGGTATAGGTATGTTTGGTTGCTGCATACTAGACTAGCGCTGTATAGGACGCCTATTGGGACGATAGCGCGCAGGTAGAGTTGCGCGGTCATCTTTACTTTTTTGCGGTTATCTAGCAAGTTGGTGGTACGGGCGAGGACCTGGGTCATTATCGTAGCGAAGAAGAGGTGCCAGCATGTTAGGATTGCAGCTGTGATGTTGTTGGTCAGGTGATGCTGTCTCTAGATGGAGGAGAATGGGAGGGGAGGCGTACGATAGTCTGCATATTGGTTTAGTATGGAAGATATATAAGTGGGAAGGGAGTTACACACGGAATCCTTGATCAGATAACAGATATTTGTTGAATAAGATCGTGATGATACTGAAGAACATCCAGGCTCTAGGCACGTGTATTGGTGAGTGAGGGTTCTATAATCCTCCGCTAAAACGACCAAGGCACAAGCAAAATCTACCTTACTTACCCAAAGTAGAATGCTGGATGAGGACCAGCCTTTACCGGCTTCTCTTTTTCAGTAATTGGCAGCATTATGCCTATTAGTTACCATAAGTAAGTCGAAGAAATCCCCTTCTTGTTGAGAAGATAGGAGGGGACCTCGGTAGAGACACCGGGCTTGGCTAGCAATATTGAGTTGCATGTAGCTTACAAGAGAAACGAAAAGCCAGGCTGGCAAGAAAGCTACAAACAAAGCGAAGATAAGTATGTAAATGGTACAAAATATACAAACGAAGAGCGGTCTGCTAATAAACAAGGAGACAGCACTTGATGTTCCGTAGATGACAGGTTAGCGCTGCCACACGCTAATGTTCGAAGTGGAGAAACGCTAGATAGTTTCAGGTGTAGTGTCCGCATGGGGAACCTGATCGTGTTCGTGATGTTTTAGCGCGATGCCACAGAAATCACTACCTATATAGCACTGCACTCCTGAACGGGAACTACAGGATAACAAATGTTACAGATGATTAATATCTTGTAATAATTCTTGCATGTCGTTTATCGACATTGTCAAGCGTGCCATCTCTGACCTTATGATCTCCTGAGCATGGAGCCAATGCCCCGCTAGTCATACAATTATCGTACATGGCTACCCACGTCAACGTCTTGACTCCCTCCTGCTATCACGGCTTCTGCTTCGCTTCCTATCATGATCACGGTCATCCCGATGTCTGTCCCGATCGTGATCCCGACTTCGGCTCCTTCTGTCACGTCTATCCCTGTCCCGGTCACGATCCCTATCTCGACTCTTATCCCTCCGACGGCTTCTGTCCCTCGAACGAGATCTTTTCCTAGCCTTCGTATCATCATCCCTCGAACGTCTGCTATCCCTGTCCTTGCTCCTCGACCGATCACGACGTCTATCAGTCGTGCTTTCTCGTCGACTTGCACCAGGTACATAGCGATCGATGCCAGGGGGACTGGTAGATCTCTCAGTGCGACTCGGTCTCCTATCAGTAGGGGATCGCGACCTGCTCTTGCCAACTCGCGATGATCTCTCCCGGTCACGCGGCCGAGAAGGCGGCGCATCTCGATCATCATCTCTCCTACTCCTAGGCGTAGAAACAACAGCAGCAGAGCCACTATCCTTTTCCTTCTGCCTATCCCGTTCATTCTTCCACTCATTAAACATTGGAAGCGGAAGCCCCTTATCCTGAGCTTCCTTTCTCGCTGTAGCCCATTCATGAGCTTCCTGCTCACGGTCCTTAATGCCTTGCAATTTGATTGCTTCGGCTTCTTCTCTGCTGAGAATACGAGGACTGTAGGTGCGAACACCTCTATCTCTATCCCGACGATCGCGACTTCGGCTACGTGACCGGTAGCTTCGTCTCCTGTCACGAGAGCGAGAACGACTGTCTCGCCGACGATGATCTCTACTATCGTCGCGTCGGCGACGGTCATCACGGTCTCTGCTGTCCCGCCGATGGTCCCGACTGTCCCTGCTACGATGGCGAGATGATGCTCGATCACGGCTTCGGCTTCTGTAACGGCGTCTATCTCTATCGCGGTCCGCATCGGTTCTTGGTAATGGTGTCTTGAAGCCCTCCGCATCAACTTGTGCTTTTGGTCCAGTAGGTATCTTTTTGACTTCCGTGGATTTATTAGAGATAGGCTTTATTGCAGAGGCGGGCATAGCCTTGCGAGGGGGTGGTGCTAGAGATGCATCGACCTCTGGTTCCAGTTGATATCTTGGTCGTTGATCAACCCTTCTGCTTTCCGTCAAGAGATTCTTCAAGGCTTCCTGCTCCAATCTCTCGATCTCTTCTTTTGTGAGCTCGGTCTTTGGCGTATCCTTGATATCCTTGATGTCCTTGTTGTCCTTAGCTTGACTAACTGAACTCCGGCGGATAGGCTCATCATCATGTCTCCTATAGCGATCATTTCTATCCCTATCACCCCGTCGATCATCGCGGTCCCTCTCTCGCTCACGTTCTCTGGCTCTCTCCCTGTCCCTATCCCTATCCCTATCACGATCACGATCGCGTTCCCTCTCTCTCTCCTTTTCTTCCTCACGCTCACGTTCGGCTTTACGTCTGGCTTCCCGCTCAGCACGCCGTCTTTCCACTTCCGCTTCAATTTTCTTCTCTTCCTCTTTCCGCTTAGCCCTCTCAACCCTCCTCTTTTCATCCGCAGCCTCGCGCTCCTTGGTCCTGAGAGCCTGTCTCTTAGCCTCCCTCATCTCGCGCCTCTCCGTAGCCTCTGCAGTATACTGATCATCCGTCTTGCCACCCCTAGCTTGTTCCTCAGCAGCAGCTTCAGCACCAATATCCTCAGCTCTCAACCCTCTAATCCCCTTTTCAATCTCCGCCAAATGCTTGTCCAACAACGCATCAATTTGCGCCTCGGCATCATGATATGTCCCCGCACGCTCAACAGCCCCTTCAATAAGCAGCGTAGCCTTTCCACGATCGAGCTTCAGCAATTGTTCTGGGTTTCTATCGAGCTCCGCCTCCGCAACTTGTAGTAAATTATCCTTGAATGAAGCTTCGAAATTCTATACATTAGCGCAACCACAAATTAGCACAATTAATCCTTCCTCAAGCCCCATGAAACCTGAAATAAACTTACACTCTTCTCCAGATCCTCCCAAACGCTCTTACGCAGTGAATCATAGCCCCCCTTCTTCTTAAACGTATGCGCCAAACCCTCCACCGCCCCCCTCTGCGCGCTCGTCAGCGGCAGATCGCTCGTCTTCAGTTTTTTGCGCCCCGTCACCGGATCGCGATCGTGCGCGTGCGGCGCCATCTTGTCTGCGAGAGGACTTCGACTCCAAGGAGGAGATGGCAGGTTTGCTGTGAAGGGGTTGAAAGGTGTTCCGTCTTCATTCTTTAGACGTCTACCAAAGGAGTAGCGCACGCGGGCCCCGCTCTTGCCCGTGGGCGAGATGAAGCCTGGTGGAGCGGACGCCATGGCTAGGCGATTGGTCGGAGTGGCGTGGAGTGGAATTCTTGGCGGCACGAGATACTCAAAGAGGAAGTGAGAGGCGCTTAGTCATTAGCGCAGCTTCAAGCTTGAAGCAAGAGCTCCACCTTGAACTTCAACGTCGAGGTAGATATTAAAGAGATACGCATTGCGGACGAACAAAATACCCGCACAGTCCCTACCCCCAATTGCGAGCGCGGAAACTCCCATCTACACATACAAGCGCAAACTCCTTCACAATGGTTCACAAAGTTCTTTTCTGGACCGGCTTCGGTATTTCCCCCATTACATCCGCATCCGCTCCGTTCCTCTCCTCCCTCCCCCTCTTCCACCTCAATTGCAGCTCCCCCAAATGCACTCACACTCGAACCCGCTAATCCATATCCGTAACACCAGGCATAGCCGTCAACTTCTGGCGCCTCGGCATCGAAATGCGACCCTTCTTCAACCGGGGCTCCCTGTGGGCATACCCCCTCTACGGCGGCATCGGCGCGAGCTTCGGGTACTGGCTTACGGGGGTGGAGGGGAGGCAGCAGGCCATCTTGGCTGAGAGACGGCAGAGCTTGCTTGCGAAGAGGGCGAGGAGGGCGGAGAGGGCTTTGGAAGAGGCTGAGGCGTAGAGATGGGGAGATGAGAAGATTACCAATGGCTTGTGTATAAAGATGGGGTTTGGAGGGGAGGGCAAAGAAAGAAAGAATTGAAGAATTATGATATTTTTTTACTGCTGGATTGATGTGTCTGTGATATTGAGAGGGGAGACTATTACTATGGACCGTATAACGTCTCATGTGATGTGGGGTGAGTAATTATCCGCCGCTCCAAAGTTCGAATTGTAACTATTGGGATAATGGGCTGTATCCCGACCTTTGTAATCATGTGATCCAGCTTAGTTATTTGCTTAGTTAGTAAAAGATGCATATTAGCCTTTACCTATAATACTATACTAAGCATTATCTACTAGAATACTAGAATTATACTTACTATGCATAGTAGCAATGTGATTATATATTAACCTGTAATACTAATAGTAACTCTGGGTTCAAGTTCTCTGTTTAAGTCTTGAGAAGGGTTCTCACCCAATTAATAAGAAATTATAGACTGATGCGTGGGTTGCTGTTTTGCTAATGTCTATTGATTTTCTCTTTCTTTTTTATCATTCTTTATTTAAGGTTAGATGAAGTACTTAATCATATTCCTCTTCCACCGAGAATATCTAGTTTATCCTTTTGCTACACAGCTAACTAATCAGAGAGCCAAACTCCAATGCTACCTTTTATACCCTAATACAACCCTCTACTGAATCTCAGGCTCATTCACCAACCTGTGCAACACTGGCACCGACGTTGGCGGAACACATCCTGACTCCGTAACAATCATCTGGATATACTCCGCCGGCGTAACATCATACATCGGATTACACAACTGCAGCTTCTTCGCATCCCTCCATCCCTCCAGTGCACCCCCGGGAATAACCAACTCGTCGGCCGGAGCTAGCTCATTAAGCACAATCGAGTCCAGCGCCACGCGCTCTGTAAATTTAACCGTTTCGCAGAGCACAATCACCGGTTTCTCCGCGTCGTTCGCTTCCATTGCAACAAGAGCAGTGCCTATCCTCGATAACAGTCGTCCGTTACTCATCATTGCGTGAGCTCCCAGCAATACCTTCGTAGCATCTTGGATGTTATGACTTAATCCGTTGATCAAGCAGTATTTGACCTCAATACCTGCATTTGCCAAAGTCTCTGCAAGATTTTTTCCCTCGTGCAACGGTCTTGAGTCCACCGCGATGACGCGGAACTTCTTCCCTTCCTCGTGCGCCTGTAACAGTGATCGCTGAACAATACTGCTTTTCGCATATGTAAGAATCACATCCCCATCCCTAATTTTTTCCGTGGTACTTGCTGCAATGGCTTGGTCCGCGAATGTGACGCGTTCTCGTATATACACATCTATGGCGTCGCATAACATATTCTTGGCTTCGGCATCGGAGAGATCGATCGAGACTTTTGATATCTCTCGCTTAAACCAAGATATCGCATTTCCCATTGATATAGAAAGGGGTCGGAAAGAGATCAGGTAGCCGATATGGGGATTGAGGACATGGGTGGTGAAATGGAGCTTTAAGGTGGTTCGAGGAGGGACGGTATAGGATTGGACGAGTTCTTTGAAAAGTTCCAGAGTTGCTAGTAGCCTCACTGTACTACCGCATATTTCATAGGTGCTGAATTGCATTCCAAGGATTTGAGCGGCTGGGTGTATGTCTTTTGGAGTCCCAGTAATCGTCTTTCTATGAGGCTTTGACAGGTGCCGAAAGAACTCAACTGTCTTGTCTTCCACTGGTGGGGGTTTGGGTGCTGCATTTGACTCGGGCTGTCTGACCGGCAGGTCTCTTGATACTGCAACAGACCCCCGCCTCTTCTGTTGTTTTGGCTCGCCTTTTTGGACTGGTGCCGGTGGTCCTGAAGGTGTGACTTTGCCCTGGACCGCCTGGGCTCTGCGCGCCGCTTTCTCGGCTTGCTTTTGCTTCTTCAACTCGGCGCCAGTCAGCTTCGGAGATGCTTCTGGTTGTTGACTAGGAGTGGCATTTTCAGCTTGAGCCGCAGGGTCAGGTTGATCGGTGGAAGGCATTTTGTTGTGTTGTGTTGTATTCTAGGAAAAGGAGGAGGGGAGGGGTGACTGTTTATCAGGCTGAGGAATTTCTTTAGCGCGAGGCCAGCTGGCGCTAAACCCCCGACAATGTGCCACAACTTCTGGGGCCTTATTTTCCGAGCTTGCGACCTCGCCCAGCTTCATCATCCAGTATTCTGATTGTCAGGCGAAGGCCTGAGTTTTGAGTATGAAGCAAGGTCTAACTAGTAGCTTGCTTATTTTAGAAAATCGGCACTATCTTTTCATGCACAGGGCTTTATATGGCAAGGATCCGGCCTCAATTACCATGGGGGAATGTCACATCTTTCGTGAGTAATTAATTTATGGAGTAGGGCCACCGACACTGGATACCGCATTGACTAGAACACGTTATTTACAGGGGAAATACCCATGTTTTTTTAACCAAGTCAAGCAGCTTCAGATATTGCTTAGGAACCTTGCATTCATTCGCCGTACTCACCAAAATTGAGTTTCTACACTGGCACCTAGGCCAAGTACTGCGCTGTCCTTTCAACATACACATATATATCAATCATTTCTCATAAGGTCCGTTTTGCTAAAGGACAATAAGCCTCACCCTATACACAATATCCCGACATCAAAACCCACCCCGAAACTCCATCGCTATGGAACAATGAATCAAATATAAAGCCAAAAAGAATTGACCTAAACCATTAACAAACTCCCCGTAGACCCTTTTAGACTGCCAGTAGAGCCCTTCTTCCCGCCCATTTGGGGAATATAGGGAGGCACTACGATTGCCTTTGCGGGATGGTAATTATCGTCGTGCCTCTCATCTTCTTCGTCGGTGAACTCGGACACGCTGGTTGCTGGTGCGGCACTCTCCGAGGTAGTGGTTTCGTCCTCGGAGAAGGAAGAGAGCTCGGAGTCGTCTTGGTCGGGAAGGGGGGTGTTGGCTGCGAGGACAACGTCGTTCGAGGATATATGTGGTGTTTTGACAGTCACAGTTGGCTCTGGAAGTGTTGATTCAATGAGTTTGACAGGTTCAGATGTGACGACGCTGGAGAGAACGGCTTTGTCGTCATTATTTAGGAGAACTGTATTGACTTGGGGGTCCGATGCTTCCGGCTCAGCTACCTTGACGCCTTCCGTCGAAACAGGCGCAACTGAGGTTGGAACCCAGGAATTGACAGAGGGAGCCATATCAACAGCGGCAATTTTAGGTAGCGTCGGAATCGCGGGTTCGACTTGATCGTAAAACAACATAAACACCCCACCTTGTCCAAGCACATTTTCCTCGCTGACCTTCATCACGTCGTCATCGCTCATCCTCCACCACTGGTCCCGTTTCTCAGTCTCTTCACCACCTGTCCCTGAAGGATGCTTCCTGTAGCATATGTAATGCCCATTCTCATGCCGTCCATAATGGGTCACCACAGCTCTCAGCTCGTAGATTGGACCTAATAATCTCGAGGGCTGGCTACTGCTAGCAACCATAGGTCTGTCGGGATTTAAAAGCCATTCTTCAATTAGATCGTCTGTAGTGGTGCCTAAGCTCCCTAAACACCACGGCCCAAGGTCAAGAAATTTCGGGAAACGAACTTCTGAGTGATTCTTTCTCAGCTCCCCCGTAAGTTCGTCAAAAAGACTTCGATTGAAGTGCACAGCTAGCGACTTCGGCGGTCGTGCTATAACGGCCTGACGAGATTTGGTGGAAGATACTCGGCTTTTGCTTGAGATGTTACACTTTTTGAGCGTCTTCTCCTCGTAATCATCATCCTCTAATGCCTCCGTGACCATTTCTAGTCTCTCTCTAGTTTGTTGGTATGCGTGGGTTTTCTCAACTACAGAGGTCTCGGCTCGTTCTTTAAGCAATGTGAGCAGTCTTTGGACCTTGAGTAGTGTGCACTTCCCACATTCGACACCTTCGATCTGTTCCAGTTTGGTGTATTCGTCTAGACACTCGGATATGTCATGCGCATATGCTCCGCCCAAAGGTACCGTTAAGCAATTAAATGGAATCATGGACAGCCCCTCTGAGTGACCACATTTCGTACACCCAACTCGCTGGGCTATTAATCCTTCAAGTGGATTTCGATATATCGAAAGAGGAGTTTCGGAAACTTCTGGACTGGAGGAATCAGAACCTTCCGATTCAAAACCCTTCAACCTCCTTGTCACCTTTGCGGCCTGCCCAACCTCCTTATCTATTTCATCTAGAACCTTCGAAAAGTACTCCTGCGCATCCTGCTGCTGCCAACTACTCATACTCTTCAGCGTCGCGGGGGTCCATATCCTCTTCCCATTATTCTCCGGATCATTAAGCGTAGAGATCAAGCTCCTCAACGCCTCTGCCATGTTCATATTCGATTCCTCGGGTCCTTTTTTCTCAAAAGCCGGATGGGTGAGATATCCTGAAAGCGAGTTCAGCGACGCCAGCCCTTGGAGGACGCTGTTCTGATAACATGAATTATCCCAATTTCCCAATCCCGCAGGCCGTCCATCCGACCCACCAGATACGATATTAATACCGGGCAACGTGGATAAACGCCTTCTCGAAGCCTGTGCTACGGTTCCGATGATCCCGCCTGGTACATCCAGCCCCAGTATGCGCCGCATGGCTTCGCTCTTTGCGGCATGAGTCCGGGGAATGTGTTTCAGCGCCGGATTCGAGATTCGCAGCGGGTTTTGGTAGTTCTCGATAGCATCAAGAAATCGTGTGGGTGTGAGGTATACGATGCAGTTCCAGAGCAGCTCCGGGAGAGGCAGGAGATCGTAGTCGAGGATCTGGAGAACTTGATACACGATAGGGATACAGCACAGTAGGATGGGGAGTATGACGCCTATGCGTGTGTACGAAGGCGATATGCCTGCTTGGTAGTCTTGATGGTATTCGATGCCCGGATCACCGTCGAACAGATCCTGTATTTGTTTTCCGTGAGACTTCATAGTAATAACCCATATAGACGACTATCCTTGTGGCAGAAATTACAGGTATGAAAGCGTTTTGTAACGAGGTACATGAAGATGTTTTTGCTGAGATCAGAACTTGGAATGAGGTTGGTTTTATGTACCCTTGTGCTTGTCCTGTACTTGTCTTATCTCATACACATGATTATACCGAGGTTTTGCCATTTAGAACAAATTTATTTAGAAACCCCCACCACACTCAGACAAGAAACAGCATAATTTCTCACAACATCCACAATGGGAAAAACAGCGCCCAATAAGAAAAAGACTCGTAAGTACTGCATCAAGTTATTGTTCAAACCAGATCCTAATATAAAAAGCGGCATCAATCCACTCCCGCGCCGCCAAACGAGCATCCTCCCCTGGCATTGACCTCGACAAGTCCCTCAAAGACCTCAAACCCCCAGAAAACGCTAAAACCTCTCGTCCCTCCGTCCTCGCCGTCCATCAAGGAGCAGGCATATCGAAGAAGTCCAAAAATGGCCGGAAATCAGTATTGAGCTCAAAGGCGCGGAAGCGACAAGAGAAAGGACTCGATCGCGCAGAGGCGTTCATGGATAAGAAGGAGTTGAAGGTTGAGAAGAGTAAGGATCGGGCGAGAACGGTGCAGGAAAGGAGCAAGGCGTGGGAGGATCTGAATAAGAAGATTCTAGCGAAGAAGGAGGCCGAGGAGGCGGAACGGTTGAATAAGGAGAATGGGGATTGGGAGGATGAGGATGAGATGGTGGACGAGGAGGTGGTGGTCGAGAAGGAGATGAGCGATGATATTCCGGAATCAGTTCCATTGCCAGAGGAAGATCAGGATGAGATATTATAGAGGTCAGGATTCCTCTGTTGCATTTACGTGGGCGTATGGAGTTGTGGATATATCATGATGGCAGGGCTATGATACCATGTGAAGGCATATTAGACCTGTAGAGTATACAGAAGTTTCGTTTTTGTACTTTGCTCTTTTCCGTTTCGTCCTAAATTCTGTGAATGATTCTTTTTCTCTTTACGCCGTATATAAGATGCGATTTCTGTCCTTTGTGTCCTTTATAGCATTATTATTTGCGGGCATCTCCGCCCAGGTAATACTTCATTAGCTGTTATTTACTCATTGCTGTCGGTCTTGCTGGAAAGGACAAGCGGAGAATGGATATCGATGCTTTCCCTCGAGCTTCCTCTGCCAGTCTACCAACAGTACCTCTACTCCTAAAGATCCATTCCGTATTACTATGCTACAGCTCTTCTTCACCCAGCCATCCAACAAGTGTTTTAGGCACCCAAATACAGAGCATTCAGATCTCAACATACGAACATCTCTTCTCATTCCATCGTCTGGCAAATTCTGCCCCTCTTCCGTCCCATAGAACGTAACATTACAGTCATCTTCTCTTCTTCCTCTAGTATGAGTTTCTCGGTCTTTTCTTCGGAGGTGTCTATTTTCCGACAGGATTGAGCTTCGATACAGTAGCCTGCAGTTATGATATTGCATATTGTATAGTAATCCAGAAGCAATAGAGGTGTTGCTTCGGCCAGAGTGTAAGAGTCTGGTGGGAGGCCATACTCTGTCCAAGATATGAGCTAATCTGTAGGAGTTGCGGAAGTGGCAGTTGACTGAAACTGTATAGTTCCTTGTCGACTCTTTCTACAACTACGACATGGTGCTCGAGTCGCGCCATAAACTAGTCAAAAGCGGTATGTCTAAGGTCATATTGTCCAACAGCCAGTAAAGTAAGGGCTGTGAGGCGGAAAGCTGGGAGAAGTGCGAATCCAATTGCGTCCTGTAACTCATCACTTTTTGGGTACAAAGAAAGCCTTGCAATGAGTGATGGTTCAATCTGAATATGTCCACGAACATATCCAGAAATATCATCAAAACATTAGTTTGGGGTCGATTGTCTACTGAGTAAACCAATAAAGTCCAAGGCCGCCTTAACTTTCAACGGATTCAGGAAGTTCCAAAAATGAAGAAAGTAGAGTTTTATTCAAATATGAGCATATTTAAAAGTGATCTTGAGTGAGAGTTGAACACATGAATCAGCCTGCATTAGCGCATCTGCCAAGGCTAGTGCTAAACCTTATTTTCTCAGCCTCGTCAGATACAAAACTTGCGGCTCCATCAATTCAACCTCTCTCAATCTCCATATCCAATATACCCAACCGCCAAAATGCCTCCCAAACGTATGACCGCGAATCCCGTCAAGGCACCCCGCTATCGCCCTGGGAAAGCAGTTCAAGAAGAAAATTCCTCCTCCGAAGACTCAGACGACGAAGCACCCGCACCCCCCACCACAAAAGCACCTCCCAAAGCATCCACAGCAGCAGGTATAACCAGCAATCTCAATAAAGTCGACCTCGCCGCAGGCCGTAAACTTGCCGCCGCGAAAGAAGCTTCTCGCATCGCGGAAGAAAAAGCCCTAAAAGAAAAAGAAGAAGAAGGCTTCGTGACTGAAAGCGAAGAAGAGGGCGCGAGCGGTAGTGGTAGCGGAGAGGAGAGTAGTAGCGGCGAAGAAGAAAGCAGTGAAGAAGAAGCGCCTCGACGCCTCTTGATACGACCAAAATTCATCAAGAAGCAAAACCGCGCCGCGGTGCCCGAGCAGAAAACCGAAGAAGAGTTATACGAGGCCGAAGAAGCTAGGAAGAGACAGCTCGCGGATGAGATAGTAGAAGAGCAGATTGCGCGGGATATAGCGGCTAAGCAGGCGGGGAAGAAGAATTGGGATGATGATGATGATGAGGAGGGGGATGAGGTTGATGACACAGATGATGTTGATCCGGAGGCTGAGTATGCGGCATGGAAACTTAGGGAGCTGAAGAGGATTAAGAGGGAGAGGGTCAAGATTGAGGAGCGCGAAAAGGAGCTCGAGGAAGTGGAGAGACGGAAGAATTTAAGTGAAGAGGAGAGGAAAGCGGAGGATGACGAGTTTTTGAAAGGGCAGAAGGAGGAGAAGGACGGCAAGGGGAAGATGGGGTTCATGCAGAAGTATTATCATAAGGGTGCCTTCTTCCAGGACGACGCAAAAGCGGAGGGGCTCGATCGTAGGGATATTATGGGATCCAGATTTGCGGATGATGTGCAGAATCGGGAACTGTTGCCACAGGCGTTGCAGATGAGGGATATGACGAAATTAGGAAAGAAGGGCGCCACGAAGTATAGGGATTTGAAGTCTGAGGATACGGGAAGATGGGGTGATTTTGATGATAGGAAAAAGGGAGGGAGGGGCGGCTTTGGAGGAGGCTTCGGTGGTGATGAAAGATATGCACCTGATCGAGATCGGGGAGGTGCTGAAAGAAGCGGTGCGAATTCCATGCCCGTTGGTGACCGCAAGAGGGAGCAAGTAGTCGGCACACCTGATGGTCCGAGAGCCATGCGTGAAGGTGGCGACAGGGAACAGAGAGATGGCGGTAGTGATACATATCGTCCTAGCAGACGTTCACGATCGAGATCTAGGTCACCGAGACGGGATAGGGACCGGTATCAAGATGACAGACGGCGGAAGAGGAGTACGTCGAGGGATATGGACCGGTATGAGGGTGACAAGAGGCGGCGAGTAGACTCTAGATAGTCTCGCCCAATACACTCAATTCAACTGTAAGAGCAGGTGCATCACACATGTTCCAGACACTCACCAGTCCTCTTGTCTGTAATTCAGGGTTGCATTGTTCCCAGGTTTTGACGGCAACAATTCATAATGTCTCGTATAAGTGACCACCATAGCCCTTATAAACATTATCCAACCCCCCCCCGAACGCCATCCATAAACCATTTAAAACACAGCATAATCATATCCATAGCTCATATCCGCAACACATCAACCCTAGCGCGTTCAAACAGCTTATGCCCAACCATCAAACCCGAGCTTCTCTCCTCATCCGTAACAGTAGCTGGATATACGGTCAACCGTACATAAGTACCCGCCGCCCTCCTTTTCGACAAATACCCCGGATTGACAACCAAGACACTTTCTACGACCTAACGCCACGTCAGTACAGTTCAGAAATCTCTTGACACACGTGATGAGGAAAGCCAAAGGGCTTCAATCAAACGTACCTTAGCAAAAGCCGGCAGCGCACTGGGAACAACCAGAAGATCCGGCCTCACGTTAACCATCTCCCCCAGTCTCAAAAAACTAACATCAAGCATACTCCCCGCCGGCTTCCCCTCCCTCGTCCCCGTCTTCGGCAAAGCCTCCCTATCAACACTCGGAAACAGGGGGAAGAAATTCCGCTGCTCGATCATATATTTCGGTAACCTGGCTAGCATGGATGCGTCTTGAATTTTCCCGCCCGTGACTTCAGATGTACGGAGCTCGGTGAGGATGTCTTGGGAGGAAATCCCGATTGCGATCTCGTTGAGGGATAACGTCATGGGGTTACCGATGATTTTTACGGATTTGGGAAGCCCGAGATCTTTTCTGGGGAAGGGCTCTTGGGGCCAGGAAACATGTTTGCTGATTATGTCTTTCACGGATGGGACGAGGATGATGGTGATATGTGGGTTTGCTGATACTAATGAGACGAATGCGGGCGAGATTAGGTATTTGAAGACTGTGTTCATGGTAGCGGTATCTGGTTCTGGCACTGCGTCTTCGGGGAGGTCGAAGTCGCCAGAGGCGATGAGCGGGTGGTCGATGTCGAGGAAAGGGCCGGTGAGGATGAGAGCGTCGGCATATGAGTCTGCTGCTTGGCTGCAGAGGGCGTGGAGGGGCTCGAAGTCGAGATTGTCGTCGGCGGTGTAGGGACCGGAGGCGATGAGAATGTTTAGGGGGGCTGGGGGGCTGTCCGAGTCCATGGCGTCTGGGCCACCACGGAGGCGCTGGACGTGTTCTTCGAGGCGGGTTGTTGAGGATGCTGCGCTTCCTAAGAGGGGCATTTCCAGTATCTCGCTGACTGTGAAGTTGTCACCTGAAGCGTTGATTCCTTTCAATGCCACAATTTGACCGGGGAAAAATTGGAAGCCGGGTAGAGCGTCGAGTTTCAAGGGTACTCGTAGACCTGCGCCCATTCGTCGTGATGTCTCAAGCACAATAGATGAGGCGTTGAGTTTCCCTTCCAAAGAATCTGATGCTATCCTTCCAACTGCCACAATCTCATTGGCTCCCTGGCTTGCAGCACTTCCAAACGCAGCGTCCTCGAGGTTGTGGTGTGCTTGAACGAAAGTCATGAACTCATCTATCCGATCATCCAAAATCTCAGACGCCTCAGACGACTTCATAGCCAATGGCTTGTATGATAGCTTCTTGATATCCGAATTCCCTACAAGTTTAATCCGGGTTTCGGAAAACGGAGCAAATGGTGGATCTGGAACTTGTAGATAATCATTCAGAACTTCGACCGCTTGTCCAGCATTTGGTCGGTCGTGAAAGGAAACTCTGTTTAACATTAGCCAGCCGCCACATGTATAGGGAACTGGTAGCATACGCTGAACCACTCTGATCACCCGGTTTATATGGTGTCTTGAAATCTGGTGGACTGCTTGCAGGTTCGGCCTTCACTCTCGACATCGTAGGTGTTTCCAGCTTCCGCTTTCCATTCAGTCGACTCACAGATCCAGCTTTCGGAGTATTAGGCACGAGGCCGTCCAGCCTGTCAAACAATCAGTCTTGATCATATTACCCTCAAAACACACTCACATCCCAAAAACATCCCCACTGTTCGAGACATTTCGCGGTGTAGCCCCCCCACGTTTATTTGTCTGCAGATGCGTCTTGCTCCTACTTTCGCGCTCCAATCCATCTTGCACGTCCTTCTTCAAAGCCCTCGCAGTGTCGATATTTAACTTCATGTCGTCCGCGCCCATTTTCATGCTGTAAGATTCCCATTTGTACCATAATTCCTGCACGTCGATCGAGTGAAGGCGCATGATAGATTGGAGCTCGGAGAGGACATCGTCCTCCAGTTCCGGGCATGCAGCGGGAACAAAACGCTCTCTTATAGCTTCTGCAGAGTCTGCCATGGTGTGTGAGAGTTCTGAGGGAGGCTTCAAGAAGTGTTGTTGCGGTTGATTTGATTTTCTGCTCACAATATTTTGGGGAAGACGCGTCGCGCGTAGAGAGGTTCGCGTCGGATTTCGCGTCAAGAAATTTATTTTGCCCCACCTTCACCTTGATTCAACGACAATCTTCACTTGCCGTCCGGTGCGATCCCAGCATATACTTACTACAGGAGATTATAATGATCGACTACACATGAGTAACTATGAGGCATCTAGGACAAGGTTCAAAAGACTTTTTACCCTACATCTATAAAGTTACTGTTAGCTTTGTTCCCTTTCACTTCCCTTTTTCCTCTTTCACAATAGCATTTTCTATATTTCTATGCCGTATCAAAATGTCCTATGGTCTGTGGAAGATTTAAAAGTCTGGAAAGGACCCAATGCCTATAGATCTTCATTGGGCTTTGAAATGCTTACCTATTGAAAATCGAACCTTAGGAAGTCCGTCCTTTAGCTTCCCCTCTAGTTGTTAGATCGGCCACGACTCGCAGAATTGGACATCGATGTTTGTTTTTTTTTCAGTCAAAATGAGATCTCTATTTGTATAAAACCTGAAAACTCCAATAGTTCTCGATTGTGTTCGGCTAGAGTTGTTACACATCCATGATAAATTTCATGCAAAGAGCCAAGAGACTATTCTGACAAAATATCAAGAACCCTTCGTTCAATATTAGTTCATAGCCATAAGTGTGCCAGATATTGCCATATTGGAGATGCAGGTTGAGGGAGAATGTCTGACCCTAGTAGGACACATCTTCAGCGAGCTGAGACCGAACTTATCTTGAATCGCTGGTATTTCTTGGTTCTTTGGAACGTTGTATTGTGCTATTAATACTAATGCTTTTTACAAAATTCTACTTGCGTTGTTCTTGCTTTGCGCCTTCCGACCTCGTTTTGGGTGGTTCTGCATCCGTTCCTTTTTCCAAACTTGTTTTTATATCACAATCCTGCGCTTCTTCGGTGGCTGATGTTCAGCACACTCACTATAATTAGGGACGATACTGTCAGCTTCTCTCCCGTTTCTTCGTTTCCTTTTCTCGGCCATCTAAACCATCCTACGTACCGTTACACTCTTCATCCGGGCTACTCTTGCCGTTGCCTTCCTCCTCCACCGAATAGTGTTGTTGGCGGGGGTTCTGTTCTTTGTAATCCTTTCTAGGGGCGCCTTTTTCTGTGCCGTTGAACAAAAAGATTCGTCGAGTAGTTTGCTTTGGAGGCTAACTTGCACACCTAATTTAACAAGCGTGTAATGATATATGTAAAATTCGACTTCCAGCGCATCGAGAGTTCTCCAACCCGAGTGTCGTCGATTCCGTAATGCTTTGAACACTGGTTCATCGGGCGGCGTGTACATTGCAATTGGCTCTCTACAGAAAGTGTTAGCTATCTCCTCCAGATGTCAATGTCGACTGGTGCAACTTACCCTTTTGTCTTAGTTAGGTCCTCTGTCTTAATTCCCTCTTCGAATTTCTCGGTCTTGACCGCGACCAGGATCTCAGTCGATTTCTCTACCTCATTGGCCTCTTCAATCTCAACTATCCCTTCTTCCTCTCTTTTCCCTCGCCCGTCTGCCTGCGTGTCTTCACTTATATCGATACCAGCCAGCGCTGCCCCCAGAGTATACATACTCTTCAGCAAACTCTGCGCCTGATCCTGCAAATTCTCCGGCAAACTCTGCGCCTTCTGCGTCTCCTCCTCCTTCTGTGTCTCCCGCATACTCTTCAGCAATCCCTGCGCCTGATCCTGTATATCCTCCGGCAATCTCTGCGCCTTCTGCGCCTCCTTCTCTCGCAATTCCTTTAGATATTCCTTCGGCTTCTTCATCTCTTTCTCCCCCATCTCGTCGAGCAATTTCTGCGCCGTCTGCGCCTGTATCTCACGCACATCCTTTATATATTCCTTCGCCTTATCCATTGCTTCCAGCAGTTCCTGATCCTTCTGCTTCTTTTTTTGTTGCATATCCTCCACCATTCTCTGCGCCATCTGCGCCGCCGTCTCTTGCACATCCTCCGTATATCCCTTCGCCTTCTGCATCTCTTCCTCTTGTATTTTGTCCAGCAATCCCTGCACCTCATCCTTTTCCTTCTCCCGTATGTCTTCCAAAAATCCCTGCCCCTTCTCCTTCCCATAGAAATTCTCCAATGCTGTCCCTAGAAGTTCCCAATCCCTTTCCGTCCGAACAAGCATCGTGGGGGAAGGAATTATATTGTCGCAGAATTGCTTGTAGCTCGCACGAAATACTATGCTCCAGGGAGTCTCGGGTTTCGGTGCTGGCTTGGGAGACGGTTCGTCTTTCGTTGATGCATCGGTATCATGTTTGATGGGGTGAATTGGTGCATTTTCGGTGGAGGTTAAGATGTCTGCTGATGGGCCTGAAGGATCTGTAGGGCGACTGGGACGACCCATCTTGAAGATTCGTGCGTTGGGCTTAGTAAGGCTGAGATGCAATTTGTGGAATGTTCTGGCTGCGGATGGGAGTTGAAGTTGTAGAGATGTGGCAGAGCAACGTCTTGATCGCACCTTCCGTTTTTAACTCCGTACATTCACTGCAGCCGTGGCTTCCCAAACATCAATGTCCGCATTATTGCAGTAGTAAGAGGTAATTAAGCTATCTGGACTATCTGTCTCATCCAAAGTTGGAGGCATTATACAATCTCAGCAGCCCACCCTGCTTCGCTTTTGAATGGCCCAACTTCGCACTTCGCGAACATGAAGTCTTCCTGCTCTCCATTAATGCTTTTTGGATTTCTTGACTTTCCTCGCGCGTCTCACTCCAGTCTCCCCTTCAAGTCCTGAATCGACTCCCATGTCATCAGCGCCTCTCTTTGTTCCCTTATTCTTCCCCCGTACCTCAGAAGAAACGAGATCCATAGCCATTAAATCCAAGGCAGCAAGCCCGGAAGAGAGAGATGCATCATCAGCCTTCTCGACTCTCTTGAACAAGTCCAACATCTCCTGTCTCTGCGCCTCCTCTTTGGGGTCATCCATCGGCATCGTCTTCTCCACCTCGAACTTCTGGCTGGCCACAGCGACAGTATCTTCCTCGTCTCCAGACAGCACAAAATCCGAAAGGTCATCTTCGCCGACGCGGAACTCGGATGCCAGCTGGGGCGTGGTCGTCGATCCATGCAGAATGTTCGCATCAATATCATCACCCTCGATCAAACCAGAGAATTCGATATCGAAGGAGTTCGTGTTGAAGAAGTCGTCCTAGATTTGGCAAACATGAATCTAATATAGGCAACCAGCGGATAATGGAATGCTTACCTGAATGCAATCAGTTCCAACATCTTCACCCTCATTTTGCTCTGCCGGCTCTGTCAAATACTTGTCGCCGTGGCCGCCATTCACTGCCGCGCTAAAAAGAGCCATGGCAAGGTATCTCTCTCGCTCCTCCAACGGCTTCTTTGTTTGCCATTTTGGCCATAGTTCGTGAAGCTTGCGGGACCACAGACGCACCATGGTTGGACGATCAATGTCAACCCCCGGGTTGGCGTGCTTGGTGTCCTGACAGAAGCCACGAAACTTGATTACGAAGCCGAGGATCCAGAACTTGTATTTGCCGACCTTGAGGTTATCAGACATGGTGATGGTATGAAGTAGAATGTGAGTACTCGGTGAGTGTAGGTATGTATAGTTGTTTGTGAAATGTGACGGAAGAATTAGACCTCGGTTTAGCGTAAAGTTTCTGGCTGTGGTGTCAGTTTGACATTCTGGGAAATGGAAAGGAAGGGAAGGAAGGGAATAACAAACCTTCCGGTCGCGGAGGAAGGTCTGTCGGCGGTACAAACTTTATGTGAATGTCATCATGCAGACTAAGCGATGCTATTCACACACGGTCGAGTGACCAAGTACTACCTAGGTAAATAGCGCCAAAGTTTGTAGAGATGGTATATAAACCAAATAGGAGCTTTACCTGACAAAAACAAACACTGCCTGTTTGGCGCAGGCTGCTCGCTATACTTCACATCGCGGTATAACTTGTGGTTCCGCCCAAACATAGGCCAGTCCGTCACCAGTGGCTTTGGGGGCTCATCCTTGTAGGAATGTTGTGGGCAGCTTTAGCATTGATCTCTGAAAGCTGGCGCCATCTCGTCCAAGAAGGCATTGATCAAGGTCCTCTGATTCAACATCATGGCTGGTCAATGGCATCTACAATGAGTTCGAATTGGGGTACAAGAGAACGTCTAATCTTGCAGGCTTAATACCTGCCTAGGATTCATCCTAGAGAAGGGCCATTGGTGACCCCCTTGCAGACATTCTTTTTGCTGTTTTTTTCTTCGCCTTCTGCTTGTTTTGTGGTTTTGTTATGCTTGAATTTCTTGTTGATATATATTTTTACCCCTGGTGCCCCTCTTTTTTTGTTTTGATTTTGGCTCGGCTAGTTTAAGCGAGTCGGTCAGTCGATCGGGAAAGGGGCGGGTAAATATTTGCCTACCTGAGGCACGAGCGAGTAACTTATAAATGAATCAATAGTATTGCGATAGGTTCGTGCGTGTATGTATGAGCCAGTAAGTAAAGAGAGATTAACTTCGTATTAACTATAATATATGCTCTTATAAGCTTCTACAGGTATGGAGCGTACAAGCAGTCAAAGAAAGCGAGCTGATCATCGCTCATTCAAGGACTACCTGAGGGCCAACATATTTAGATCTCCCATGAACAAACCACCAAATCGCAACCAGAACCGCAAGCCCAACCGTAATGACACTCGTATAGTTCATCTCATCCGCCTTTACAGGCAGCGCATATGGAAAACAATAGATGACGTTAAAGACAACGATATAAATGCACGAGATCGCATTCACGACAAATCCATACCGGCCCATCCAGAACGGCCCCGGTTTGATGCTCTTGCGGCCGGACAGAAGATGTGGCCCGATGGCGAGGAGGAAGGAGGTCGTAGTGAGCAACACGAAGGAGCCGACGAAGGAGTTGAACGCTTCTGTGGAGCCGACGTAAATGGCGCCCATGCATGTCGATATGATGCCGCAGGCGAACGTTGCGTACAGAGGGCTCTTGAAGCGTGGGCTGATGGCGCCTAGGTGGTTGATGAATGGCGCGGCGTCGTCTCGGGCCAAGGAGTAGAGAGTGCGGCCCGCTACTATGTAGCAGCCGACTGTTGCGGCGACAATGGGGAGCAGGATGACGATGAGCAGGCCGAGACTGCGCCGGCGGATCCGGTTGCTTGTCGATAGATGTCTCCTAATGGGCAGATGGAGTCGAGGGCGAAGATGGCGTCTAAATCGTTGATGGCGTAGAACATGGCAATCATGTAGAAGATGGCTGTGAAGAAGCCGATGGCAACTTGGCACAGGATGACTTTAGGAAGGTTCTTCCCGGCTCTGTAGAGCGTGTTAGCAATTATTTCAAATTCCTGTTGAGTGGATTGGTACCTACTGGGGGATCTCTTCCGCAATATGAGTGACACAGTCAGGCGTACCCACCGCAAAAGCACCATTAAGCATACCAGCCAAGAAGACGAAGCCATCACTTGAGTAACCCTCGAGGTTCTGCCACTCTCCCCAAACAAAGCTATTTGTAGCATAGCCTTTACCATTCTTGCTCGGCATCACGGCGCACACAACAATGGTGACAAACACGCCACCAAGGATCAAGAAGGAACCAATCCTATTGATCCAAGGGAGAATTCGGTTGGCGAACATGACAACAAAGCATGTTCCCCAGCAAATGATAACGTATGCAGCAAAGACGTGCGATCTCTCGACTTCATAGTCTGGGTGGAACATGCCCCATGAATAGACGATCATACCGGCGATGATGTTGCAGTTGGCTGATATGCCAAACGTCCAGGCGAAGAAGTTGAGCCATCCTGCAAACCATCCGCAGATACGACCATATTTTGGTCCGCCGGTGACGGTAGCCCAATGATATACTTTGCAAGTCAGACAAGAACCGGGAGCTGAAGTCAGGATGCAACTTACCTCCACCTGAAGCAGGTATAGCAGAAGCAAGTTCCGCAATAGACGCCGCAATAAACCAATAAAATACAGAGGCCGCGATACTATCAGAAATTAGTGCCAAGAAATGCGACTCTAGATTGGGGGGGGGGGATCTTACAATTCGTAGATAATACCAGGAGGCCCTCCATTATAAAATGCCACGACCTTCATTTTGTCAATGAATGAACAAAACTAAAACAGCGTTGTATACTCACAATAGCTCCACCTAATGCAGTCCATGTGTTGCCCGTCGTGACTCCAGTAGCGCACGCACTCAGTAGGTTGAACTTTTTCTCCAGAACAGGGACATGTCCGGAGACATTAACTTCCTTATGAATATCCGCACCGGAAAGCACTTCACTAGCAGATGGAGATACGATATGCTCCTCGTCTCTTTTCTCCATAGTCGACATTGTATTTTAAGAAGTCAACACCCAAATTATAGGAGAGATGTAGTTATGAATAAGAAGCGCGGGAAATAAGCGAACAAGAAAGCAAAGAGAGGCCAAACGGAAGTTATATAGTGAAGATACTTAAAGTGCATAGCTGCCTCGTGCATAAATTGCCATCAAATAATCATTCCCTTATCTATCGCAAGACTTCAAGAAGATAGTTCGAGGTTCGAGGCCCCAAGGAGGGATGCAGATAGATAGATAGGCAGCTGTATCCGATGATAGATAGAACTAGGGAAGTAAAGTAATGCTACTTCGAAGTTACGGCTAAAGACTCGGAAGCTTTGACAAGCAAGATTGACATCGTGCAAGCCTTACCATGAAAAAGCGCGTACTTATTTTTTTATCGTGGCAAAACTTATCGCGACTTATGAATGTAGTTTAGTGCTTCTCTAGTGCGCGCTCCTCGCTGACTATTGCCTGCCATTCAAATTTCATCTGGGATATTTCGCTCGCTGACTACTTCCTTTTTCTTTCCCCTGTGGATTCGTGTTGATCGACGCTAATTCGCCCGACTCCTTCCTGACCCCATTTCTAGCGAACGTCGCTGACTCTTTCCGATCAATTCGTTGACGACCCGTTGTAGCAGTTCACGGTTCTCGCTGATTCTCTCCATATACGAAGTATCATCGTTCTTTTTCTCAATTGTGCTTCTGTTATTTTTAGACGTCTCTTTCATTACGTTTCAAATTAGCTTTGATCAGCATTTTCATTTCCCTTGGGTAATAGGCCGGTCAAACAAAATGCAAGAGAAATCAGTAGGAAATTTATGCTCAGGATTCCCGTATATATCGTTGCTCTGCACTAGCTATCACTTTAATTATAGAACAAAACTCACGTTCGATACCCTCTCTTTCTCCCCCCATCAAATCTAAGAGAATTCGGTGAACTCGTGTTTGTTCGTGCCAATCTCAATCCAATGCCATCACCCAATATACTTGATCTTTCTCGAGGATGGCCAGCCCCAAGCCTCCTCCCAGCAGCAGCCCTCCTGCGTGCTTCCCAGACCGTCCTCACAGATCCAAACCTCTTCGTGCCAGCCCTGCAATACGGCGATGATGCTGGCTACGAGCTCCTACGCATCGCGATCGCCGAGTGGTTGCAGGAGTTCTTTTCTACACCGTGGACTACCGTGGGTCGTATATGTATCAGTGGTGGCGCTAGCATGGCCTTGGCTTGCATCCTACAGGTGTTTACAGACCCAGTGTATACGCAGAATGTGTTTCTAGTTACCCCGACATACTTTTTGGCCTTTAAGGTTTTTGAAGATAATGGATTTACTGGGAAACTGAAGGGTGTTCCTGAAGACGCTGAAGGGATCGATATCGAGTACCTCGAGCAATGCTTATTGGCACAGGATATTGCGAGCAGAAATGGGTTTTCTCAGGTATGTCATTCGTTGATCTGCTTTCATGGGCATAGCGATCAAAATAAGAAAATATAGTGACATACTTATAGCTGCCTTAGCCGCCAACGGGCATCAGCAGAACACCACAGCGCAAACTATTTCGCAATATCATATACTGCGTACCCACCTTCTCCAATCCATCCACAAAGAGTATGTCCATACGCCGACGCCAGCAACTGGTGCAAATCGCACGCGACCACGATTCCCTGGTCATCGCCGACGATGTCTACGACCACTTGCGCTGGGCGCCTCACACGAGCTCCCGAAATGAGAGTGCCCCTCCAGTCCTTCCACGCCTCGTAGACATCGACCATGAAATGGGCGGCGGAACCCAGCGACCAGGGGCAGATGGTTTCGGGAATGTAGTCAGTAACGGCAGTTTCAGCAAGATCATCGGGCCGGGCTGCAGGACTGGCTGGACGGAGGCGACGGATAGTTTCACGGTGGAGCTTTCGCAGTGCGGCTCGACGCTTAGTGGGGGCTCGCCGTCGCAATTGACGGGGGTCATAGTCTGTCAGATGCTCAAGGAGGGGGCTTTGTTGCGGCAGCTGAATGAGGTTATGATTCCATCGCTGCAGAGGAGGCATTGGCTTATGAGGATTGCTGTACAGAAATACCTCATACCTCAGGGTGCGAGTATGTCGGACAGCAATGGTGGATACTTCATCTGGATTACACTCCCAACTCCCATTTCAGCTAAAGATTTCACCATCCGAGCGGCATCCGACGAGGATGTGATCGTTGCGCCTGGAGATATCTTCGAAGTCTCTTCCGACAAAGGAGGATTTCGCTTTGACCGCGAAATCCGCCTTTGCTTTGCTTGGGAACTGGAGGAGGCTCTCGCTGTTGGGGTCAAAAGTTTGGGTCGTGTTCTTGAATCCATGCTACGAGACTGCCAAGAGCTCGAAGAGCATGCAAAAGTTACCGATGTGGAAATTGTAGACTTTGCCCCAGCGCACTTTTCGGGGAATCGTATCCGTACCACACATCTGTAGACCAGAGTACGCTCTCGACGAGGGGTAGTGACGAAGGGTAGTATTGGCTAGGTCGCTCCAATTCAATGCCCCGGCTCTCAGATCGCAAGAATCCTCTGCTCACTGGTCCTCAGCACGCCGATCCACCCCGGCGTCTCCAAACTCCCCTTTCTCCTCGCCTCCCACACATCCTGCACAACACGCCACAAAGTCGCGATATTCCCGATCCGGTATTCCAGCATGCGCTGCCAATAAGCCCGCCATTCCGCATGCTGCTCAGGCCGCGCTTCGCATGCAGCCACGAAGCCTGGCCACATAATCGAAGCTGTGAGCGGCAATTCGTGTGACGCTTTCAGATCTTCAATCTGAATGAGATGAGACACTACAGTGTCGACATAACTTGCCATCCGTGCTGCCGGACATGGAGTAACTCGTGCGTAGAAGTATATTTTTAGGGCGTGGTAGAAAGCTTCAACGTGTAATTTGATTACCGAGCGTGCTAGATGGTCGCCTTCGGCTACGTGGGGCAGCAGCACACTCTCGATTGACCATGCTAGGATCTTGGATTCAACTTCGCGGAGGGTGGTTTCGAGAGTTTGGGGAAATGTATGATCTTCAGATACGTAGTATGCCAAGTGTTGTGACATGGTTGTAGTGAGGCGCATGAGAAACACGAGCTCAGATGTAATCCCATAGGTAGACTCTAGAAAACAGTCGTCTTCTATGGATGCTCCTGTGTATGTATAACTACGTTCCAGGTCCTTTTTCGATGGTGGCCATGGGAGAGCTGGGAGATTGTATATGGTCGTATCAGATACTGTTGATAGAAAAGCACATAACGTATGCAGACGTCCCCAGGGTATCTGCCGCTGTCGCCTCATAGCGCCATCAATATGTACCCAGAACTCTCCCATGCTTCCCTCCATTACCTGTGATTTACCAGTAAGCAAACGTTAAACGGTTGTGAACGCGGAACACTTACATCAGTCGTGACTAGCGTGAGCATAGCTCCCATAATACAATCGGCATAAGAAGTCGAAGCATTCCCTGGTTCTAGATAAGAATGCTTTTCCTTTCCCGCATCAAGTAATGACTTCCTCAAATACTGAAACGCCTTATCTCTAAAGAAACGGCCAAGGACATCAAACTGACTATAATTCCCCTCGTCCCTCACACCGCGCAGATGGAACGACGACGTAGCCAAGAGAGCGTAGAACATTGCTACATTTCCAAGTGGCGTGTGATGATCCACGGCGGTGGTGTTTTCGAGGATATCTCGAGCTCCGATTAACGCGTTGGGAATGTAGATTGAGCTGTAGGGGTTGTCCTGTAGGTAATATGGGAGCAATAACGGTGCAACGTTCTGTCGGTAGTTGTCTATCAATGCCGTAGCCAAAGGGCTTTGCCGTAGGGTTTGATTCATCCCTGCGGGGATATAAGGTAGAAATCGCTGGCCTTCTGCCCACGGAGAGCTCGTATTTTCAGAGGTGGGACTTCTTACTTCGGATTTTACTCTTGACAAAACTCTACAACTACCATTACTGGCAACAGAGTTTTCTCTGGAGATTGGTTCCGTGGTGAAGTCGAAAGGGTACTCCAAGGAATTGGACCATTCCATGTTTGGAAAAGGCGTCGAGATGGGCTCAATGCCAGACTTGGTCTCCCTCGCGTCAGCAAACAAAGCTCCCTCGCCATTAAAACTTTCTTGGTCTAATTGAGTGATATTCACAGAATGGCTTTGGAATATGGCGAAAGGTCCAAAAGCAATTGTCTCAGACGTTGTCGTAGACGGGTCAATTGCATCAACCGCAGCAACTAATTTGTCGATCTCTTTGATATCTCTAAGATGCAGAGCCGAATGACCTAACTGCGTAAGTTTTACTGTAGTATACTGTTCCATTCGCCTCACCTGGTAGGAGATTTACCTGGTACTATCATGGCTTTACGTTTAATAGCCGAGGGGCGGACTGTATCATCGTCCGTGACCCAGTACAGCTCAACATTATATCCTTCACATTGTATACGCGATTTGACACATCGATCGCAATCTGGTCGGCCGCTGTCGCACTTTACTTTTCGTCTTCGACATGTCCAGCAGCTATTCAGAGGGCGTTAGCTTTCATCTTCACCGGGTTTGCGAAGTGGGCAGACCCTTTGAAAGTCTTTGTTTTTGGCGCAGAACTATGTCGCATTGTAGTCTGTAGTTGTATACTATTATCTTTGACACCTGCTTTTATTATGACATTTACAGTTCCAGGTTGTCGAGAGAGTGAAATTGAAAAGGTAAGCATGTCCTAAACATACTTAGCTCACCACGCTCAACAGGGCTGGTGGGCTCAGTCCAGCAGATTAGTCAGCCGGCTCGGGATTTCTTAAAAGTGGGACACAGACACACTCCTCTACTCAGGGGTACAGTTGTGTTAGTTTGTAGTTTGGCAGTAGTCAGCGAGATCTTTCAAGAGTGGCGAATGCTTATCACGGACATTTCATTCAAAGTTTCACTTGAGTATCGATATGAGGGTCAACATGCTACCTCCCGGAGCTGTGTTGAGAATATGCAGGCCACAGCGGAATTATAGAATGGCGCTACATATACTGCCTTCAATGCAAACGAGATCTGGAATTCAAGATATAAATCCCACGTAATCGCATCTTGCACGATTCCTCGACAACTTTCAATGATATATCTCGAGCCATGGACATACCTCCGTGTATAAGCAATCCGGGAATTACCCAAAACAGACCGGGTGTCGCCAACGCGGCCCACCTGGATAAATACCATCATAAATAGATCTCAAAAACATCACATCATCGCAAAATTCAAAGGTCTTCAAATCTCTCTTCAATTCAAATTCTTCCTCCTCCATTCTTTTACCTAACCATCGATCCTAAAACACCGCGCAATGCGATGCGATGCTATAAGACCTAGCTAGCGTATACTATTCACACACATTAAAAACAACATAACGTCTAGATACATAGATACAAAAGAGAAGTTGATCTGCCAAGATCTGGTATCGATTTTCCTACTGCTCGCTTTTAAATGCAAGAAAAAATGTCTGTGCCATGTAGGTGTAGGCATTCATAGACGGCGTAAAACGTGTTCGGACCTCGGAGGGAATGTACAGAAATGAACGAAGATTGAGGATCGGTATATTAAAAGTGTATGAGGGCAAAATGTATTAATCTCAAGAGGCGTGAGTCTGGTAGGCTTCTTGGAGTACTATCCGTAACTCTCGTTAGTATGGTCGTTATGTTCGTTAGGAGAAGCAAAACATACCTTCAAGTATACGCCCCTGCCCCAATCGATCCTCACACGCAATCTGCAACCCCCCCGCTCCACCCTCCACAAAATCTAGAACAACACTATTCGGCAGCTCCTCCATCTCCACATCCGGAATAGACGGCATTCTAAACTCGCTAAGATGGAATTTCCTGGTCGCGCCAACGCTCGCTTTTCCCTTTCCGTTTCCGCTAGCTGTGAGCGCGGGAGACAGAATGAGGTAGCCTGAGGAATCGAGGAGCGTGGACCGGCGTTTCCAGAGTAGAGTATCAGGGAATTGGACGTTGACGTCACCGATGTTGATGCTTGGCGTAGGAGGTGTTGTGGAAGGGTCTGAAGAGATCAGAGAGCGCGAATCATTGCCGTTAAGCGGCTCGGATTCTTCGCGTACGGTGGGAGATACGGCGTGAGAGATGGCTTTGCGACCTGAAGAGAGCGAAGAAGACATACGACGCAGCATGCGGCTTGTTCTGTTCGACTTCTTTTCTTTTTCGTCACTGGAAGAATTGGCGGTTGGGGGAGGTGATAGCGAGTCATTGGGGGTACGGCTGCCTGTGGAAAGACGACTGCTTACGGACTCGGATCGTTTGTGAACAGGCGACGCGGCGTGCGTGGAAGGTGGGCGTGAAGGAGACATTACCGATGGAGGACGAGATGAGGAGCGGGCGCTCGGCGACGATATCGAAGATACGAACTCGATTGACCGGCGTCGGTCTGCGAAGGATTGCCTGCCCTCACTAATCAGATCTTTAACGATCGAGATAGATGATCGTCGATTCTTAGCTGTCGTATTGGTAGTATTAGAGGAAGAGGAGAGTCTTCTCTCTCTGGAAAGTCTTCTCTCTTGAATCGTCTCGATTTCTTTAGGATGTTCCGGAATAGCTTTCTGATGGTCGATGACTAAAGGAGATTGCTTCAAGTCTAAAGGAGCATATTCCGAAGCGGGTTTACCATTTCCTGGTGGAAAAGGCGAAGCTGGATCGCGAATGATTCGAGCTGTGACTGAGATGGACTCCGGCCGTGACCGTACCGGCGGCATCATGGGAACAGGACTGACTTCAAAAGTATTAACCCGATTCTTAATCGACTTAGATCTATCTCGTAGTGTGAATGCTTCCGGTGAAGACTCGCGAGACGCATCTGTAAAATCGCCTGGTGAAGGTGTATTCTTGTTCAACGAGTTTGTTCGATCAGCGATGGATGGGGACGTGCCTCGACCATTGCTTTTCCGTACGGAGAAGAAGGCAGGAGCTGCTCCTAGCGGAGGACCAGTTGTAGGGGCCGCAGCTGTTCCTGGAGTTGTGGTAGCCTTTTCTAGGGCTTTTATTCTTTGAGAAATTCCTGAGCCAAGGTTGACCTTCTTGATTACTGGCTTGCTGGCTTCTTGGTTGATCTTGTTCAAGAACGCAGCCGACGCAGATACAGCACGTGAAGTCTCGAATTTTGGAGGAACTCCCAATGATGAAGAATCCTCCTTTCTGCCCGTCGGATTCGATACAACACGAGAAACCCTGTTGCGCCAGCTTTCCCTTTTCTTGGGACTTGTCGTTGGGAATACGGGATTAACAGGTGATTTTGAAACGGAAATTGGCTGCGCTTCCTGTACCACTGCTGAATCTAGCTCATCCATAAGGTCGTCATCTGAAGAAAAGTTCGCCTCGGTGGTGTGGCCGCTTTGGTCTGTAAAATCAAGATCTGTCCGAATGTGCTCAATGCTTTTGCGCTTCTTTCGTTTCTTCGACGGCGTCCCATCATTCTCCTGGTCATTATCCGTAAACGATCTTTTGGTATCAACAGAAAATGTGCTTCCAACAGGCGACTTTTGAGAAGCTATAACAGTTGAGTTATCTGACACATCTGACAGAGGGAGTGGTTCCGTTGGTATCTCGTGAGCCTTGTTGTCGCTCTTGAGGTTGGTCATGCTGAACTTGGATCTTGGAATATTATCCGTCTCGCGAACTTCGTCGCTACCTTTGAACATGCCCATACCAAAATTGGGTCCTGGGATGTTATTTGTCTCGGGAGCCTTGTTGTCGCTATTGAGGTTGTCCATACTAAACTTGGATCTTGGGATGTTGGCCTTCGAATCTGATTTCGTAGGAGGCAATGGCTCTTGTACGTTTTCGGGAGCTTCGGTTCCGGCTTTCTCTGCTTCGACGACTGTGAAACTGTCTGGGGCAGTCTCGTCCGCAAAAAAGTGCTGAATGAACTTGGATCTTGGTATGTTCACATCCTTAACCTCCAACTGGGTGGGAAACTCTGGCGCCGATATGCTGTCATCAGGAACTTCAGTTCTTGGCTCGTCCGCCATAGTTTCAATCACAGACGAATCAACTGGTGCAATCTCTTGCATGATCGGATCATCTAATCTTGCAAGTGTCGCAACTGGGGTAGTCTCTTCGGATTCTTCCGCCTCTTCTGTAGGCTTCACTGAGACTACAGCTCTAGAAGGTGGCTGATATGTCATCGGCAGCAGTTGTTCTGCATCGGCGGGAACTGCCTCTTTTTCCTCAACTTTTACAAACTCAGGAAGCTTCGCTTCCAACGGCGATTCCTCAATTATAGATACCGGTTTCACGGTGCTTGTTTCCTGAACAGTTTCATCCGTAGATTCCGAAATCGACGAAGCTCTCGTTGAAGCTGTCTGTTCGGAAGGTCCAACAGGTGAAACGGGGTATGAATCCGATCTCGTAGCATCCGACTCGTCGGTTTTCAACGTTGAACTAGCATCAAAAGAAATTCCAGAGTCATCTTCCTTGGCCATATCATTCAGCATGGCCAATGTATCATGAACCTCTTTCGGTGCACCAGAACCCCTGTTCCCCCCGTTTGTCGCGAATGCAGGACTTGTGAGACCCTCGGGTGAGGTTGGCGATAGTGGCTCTACAGGGGCGGCTGCGCTCTTTTGCCGTTTCCGCATTTCTAGAGCTTTCATTAATCGTGCCTTTTCGGGCGTAATTCTTGGAGTGAGTGGAGTAGATGATATGGCTTTGATCGAAGGGTTAGGGCTCGTTGGCGGCCTTCCACCGCTGGTGTGTGGCCGCATTGGGGTTGAGTGGGACATGCCAGGAATAGGTGGAGGAGAAATCGTCATACTTGGAGTCTCGGTGCCGTAGACTGAAGTAGGCCTAGGTGATCGCCCTCCTCTCTTTGATCCTTTTGAAGCAACCTTAAGACCAGCTGGAAGTGTAGAGACTGGTCGGTAAGAGCCTGCGCCAGACGTATGCGACGTATGTGGCCTTGACCCTCCCACATCCAGTGAAGGTCGAGGTCCCAACTTTACCTTCGGCTTTCCATTGGAGCCGTAAGAGTTAAAACTGTATATATCTGGTCTTGTCGATTGAGAAGATTTTCGCGGTGGTGCTTCATCAACTGTCTGCGTAGGGGAGCGTGGGGGAGGAGGTTCTGTATGGAGCGCGTCATCTGTGATTGTTGATCGGTAGGCCGTTGTAGATGGTAGTGTATCAGGCGGGGCACTATTCTGTGCAGATTCTGGAGCCCCGGAAACCGAGCCTAGCTTTGTAGTCGACGGATGCTCTTCCATCACTGTCGACTGTCTCTTGCGATTGTCTTCCTCTTCGTCCTCAGCAATCTCCATCAACCTTCGTCTCCGCAGAGAACTAGTTGAGGATGATGTAGAGCCAGATGCGGTATGTAGGGAGCACGCGGCTGAAAGCTTGGTGTCTCGAAGCTCTTTGGGGTGGTTTATTTCGAATATAGTATCGTGGGGGGAGAATCGGTCTGTAACGGCAGTAAAGTGGACGGAAACGCGTGCTAGATATTTATTAGATCCCATCCAAGGTATATCATATTGATAAGGGCAAGATACTCACCCTGCACAAGTCTCGAGCAATCCTCGGGCACATATTTGATGATCACATTCCTTCGTCTATACCGTAGAAACCCAAACAGAGGAGAGGGTTCCTCGTAACTCGCTATGGCGTTTCGGATCTCCACAATCCCTCCATTGCCCCGTCCCAGCAGCTCGATCTCATCGCGGGCGGTATACTTGAGGAGGAACCTGTGAAAAGACCAGTAAGTTCTCTGTGCATCAATCTCCTGGGCGCCAGTTCCAGTTGCAAGGGCAAGGTAGCTTACCATCCTCCAGGTTCCGCTGCAGCAATATCATGCGCCTCTTTGACCTTCACATCATCCAACCCATTCAGCGACATTGCCCCCTCCTTCTGCCTATCCAACAATTGTTTTCGTGGTGGTTTGTCGTCTCTATCATGCGCTGATATGATGCTTTAATTCGAGATTCGCAATTTCAGGGGTAAGAACATTGACACGCCGGGTGCAACTGATCTGCCGCCGTGGGCAGTATCAAGCCATTTCCCAACGAACTGTATTGCTATGCGATTGCAATTAAAAGCCAGCTTCATGTATGGAATAGCAACAAAAGTGTGAGCGCTGTTGTTCTGAAGGACTCCCAAGAATTGTGCAGTCTCTCTCTCTCTTGCAGTAGTTTCCTAATGGGGCCCTAGCGCCACGGCAATATGTTACTTTAGCTCCGGTTGACACCGCCTTTGAATTATCGACGCTATTCCAGGGCCAGGTAGCTAAGCTGTTGATCTATTGATCGCCGCGGAGAGGGAGAAAAGGAGTCGTTCTGATAATGTTATTTGAAAAAGAAACTTCGTTCGGGACAGCCGTCTGAAAATTGTTCCGCATATGTACTTTGTTGCTTACGATCTGATCATTCATGCACTACTATCTCTTTCACGCACAACATGCAACAGCGTTCGGAGAATCATCCGCTTTGACCTCGAACCCCAATCCATTCATTCAGTACGCACGGAGCTTTTTCACAAAATGACTGGATGAGTTAGCCAATGATAGGTAGTGTTTGGACTTCCAACGGTTTGGAGGCTGTCTATATCCCCATGTTTTTGGCAATGGAAGGGCCGAGATCGATCAAGTACTGTAGGGTGTTGTCTGCTGGTTGGATCTGAAACTGGATCCTGGATTTCTTGCTCTGCAGGGTCCACTGGTGGACGTGAAGATACGCAATGGGGATGCATTACCAAAATGAATGTTCTTTCATATCAGCTCCTAGAACACCGGATCCTCTACTAATGTTGTATGCAAATGTGATAGCCTTCTCCGAGCCGTAGGTTGTGGAGAAGAAGCAGTTGCCGCAGCAGCTGCAATCACATAGCGACATCTGGGGATGCCATAGAATCCACTCATAGTTTGATCATTGATGTCATGTACAGTCTTGTGTTTTGCCAAATGTAAAACCATATATCACAATACAATCAAACGCAAATTGAGCCCAGCGCGAATCCACTGGTACTAACATAACATATCCTCGTCATATCCAAATTGTTTCCAGAAGTGTTTACATGATCAAACTCCAGTAGAAGTACCTTCACAATAGCTCTACCAACCAGATCATCCCCACCTGGCGCGACTCGCATAGTCATAAGCATCTTCACTGCGGTTTGCCCACTGTTCTTCAGGGTCTACGCGAGAACCCCATGCCTGCTCGGATGTCTTTACACCAGTGAAGTGGCACTCGCCGATGAAATCACACTTGAAAGTCCCTGATAACTCATTACCTTCGTTACTGAAGGTAATCTGTCCCAAAGTTTCGTCTCATCCTAGTTGTATCTCTCCTTCACCAGTCTCCTCGCCCCGCCATCGATACCGCCAGGTAGGCCGCCGCGTAGTCGGGTTATCGCTGAGTGCAAGGTAAAAATCGCTGGTAGTATATTTCTCACTGGATTCAGTTTCCCCCGAGTATGAGGGCAAATAAGCCATGTCGACATCGCCATCAGCATCTTCGTCCCGCTTCCTTTTATTTGAAGTTCCGGATTTCTCTGACTTCGGGATGGGAATTGGTTTTTCAAATCTCATAACACCTGTGACAATTCTGAAGTGAAAGATGGCGTACATCTGGTGGTGACCATTCTTTTTCTCCAAGTAGATGTCCAATGTTAGAGAGGGGTCATCACCTTCGTATCCCCAGCCATTCTCGATCTCAGGACAACTGATAATCCATGATCCTCGTACGTCCCAAGCGTGTTTGCCCTTAGCAACTTTGCTGGATGATGGTTCAGCTTGTATAGATTCTGTAGATGGGGGTGGGGATTGGAAGACCGATTTTCTAGCAGTTTGCTTTGGCCGAGATTTCGGAGCCGCAGATGGATGTTCATATTCACTGAGTGATGATTCTGGGAATGCATTCTTCCTTGCGGTCTGCTTCTTCCGGGGCCCTTCAGCACCGCGCGGCTCGCTTGGCTTTGGCTTTTGTGTGACTGGAGCTTTTGGTGTTGAACTCGAAGCTGAATTGAGCGTTTTGGACTTCACCGCCGATTCTCCAACGCCGTTTGAGACCTTTGCTTTCTTGGTCTTCGGCTCCCCGCCGCCAGTATTTGGCCCAGCTGCTCCCTTCTCAATCTCCCGCATCTGATTCCAAACAGCATCCCTAGTCCTCCCAATGATCATCCATCTATCAGGACTGGGCTTCTTGCCACCTGTCCAAGGCGCATCAACAGATACCGTTTCCAGGTTCAAATTTCCCGCTGCTTTAGCTAAGGCAAGCCGAACATCCTAAGGGCTCTTGAGCACTACGATATCAAGATTCACAGGCCTGCCAGTAGCCCCTTTAGGGAATGCGTCAGCCAAGTACTTAGAGGGGTTGGCCTTGGCTTTTTGCTCAGCCTTCAACGAGTTCCATTTGCTGTCCTGCGCAGCCTTGTTCTTTTTCTTGAAGTCCTTATTCAACTCTATCTCTGCAATTTTCAGTTCCGGCAGGATCTTCTTTGCTTCTCGCGGACGGAGCTGTAGATCACTAATTGCACCTAATTTAATCCTCGAAAAGCGCATTGTGCTTTCCAATATGAAACTGGTTTCCTGTCGACTTCTTTTGGCTGTGGATTCGCTTTGGTAGCTTTTGGAGGCAGGAATCTTTCGGGGTGAGGATCGTAGGGGATGCCGTCTTTTAAAAGACCCTCGCCGGAGCAGCTGAATTTGAGGAACTTGTGCACATGTTCGAGTGGTGGGATGACGATTGCATGAAGGTCTACCATTGAGAGTGAGTCTAGGGTAATTGATTAATTTATGATGAAAATGTTGCTTGATATCTCCCTCTGCTTACTTGTTTTGTATCGTAGGGGACGCGAAGCTAGGACGTTGTAGTACGTGTCCCCGTGATCTGAGCAGGGATTGACATTTAGCGTGCTTTTTAGGATTGAAAAAGTTGTACTTGAAAGCTCGCCGTCACAAGCTCAACCACTAGAAGCTCATTCACGCCCCGAACCACCCAACACTTCATACCTCGCACTCTATCGCAAATAACTCAAAATGGTCGAATTAGTAGAAGTCGAGGACGAGTCCTTCGAGAATAAGCAGGCCGGCCCCGAGTACGACGACGACGACTACTCTGATACCGGTACTTTACATATACCTGTCCTCATCTGCCAGCCTCATTACTAACAATCAACACAGACTCTGAAATCTCTACAGACGACGAAGACGAAGTTCCCGAAGAAGAAACTCTCGCCGATAGACTCCTGGCCCTTCGCGACATAATCCCCCCTACTACCCGAACCTACATCTCCAACACGGTCGAGACAACAACCAGTTGGGTCAAATCAGGGCTCTTGCTGAGCGGCAAGACACTATGGATTGTGAGCACGAGTGCGCTGTTATTAGGCGTGCCCTATGCATTGGCTTTTGCCGAGGAGCAGGGCGTGATGGATTACGAGAATGAGCAGAAGGCGAGGGAACAGGGGGCTTCGGTATGTATACACTTTGCTGGGCTTTACATGAGGCGTCTTGGACATGAAGGATGTGCTAACATTGAATTCAGGTTTTTAACGCTGACCCTGCAGCGACTGGGCAGTTGGGACAGTTGAACGCCCAACTTAATGGCCAAGCGAAGCCGGCGTTGTAATGATGGAACGAAGGGTGGACTACGAGAACCGAAGTCTCAAGAGATTTGTATGAACCCTGGACGGGGAAGGGTCGCTTTGTAATAATATCCGTGTTAGATTGAAGGAATGGTTGCACGATATGCATTTGGGGATAAGCCTTTGTTGTATTTTAGGGATCTTCTCTCATCTTAGGGACAATACTGTTCTATACCAAACTATGCCTTCCTTGCATGTGATCAATCGGCTTGTAAAATGTCTTAATACCAGTATATCTGAATTCGTGCGGAATGCTATCTACCATTCTCGCGTTTTAGTGGACTAGCCTAACCTTTACCATCTCTACTAGAATATATAAGCTCAAAAGCGACATCGGATGAACTTCTAATCATATATTCCCTCCTATTCATAAACGGCGGACTCAATTGCCCCTCTTAAAAAGGCTACATACATAACCTCGGACGTTTCACATAATTTATGCAAGGCTACGACTACAACTTTCTGAGGTCAAACCCTTGCTTGATATTGAGTACAACACTGCCACCAACACAATCCTTCAAAAGACACCAACACTCTTTATTGTGACATGCTTTCTACATACATCTCAAGAATCCGAGATGCCGCTTTCCTTCTCTCGTCGCTCTCTCCTGCCTATTCGCGGCCTTGGAACCAAAGATAAGAAACCGCGAAGGACGCATAACAATACATACCCGTTAGCAAATAGTTCAAGGAAGAAGGACCGGAGGTACGTGATGCTTTTGAGACCGGAAGAACGAATAAACACTGACATTCGAGCAGATGGCCTCTCGTATTAAGATTCTCCAAGGGCTCCGTTCACGGCGGTAACTTGGCATATCAGCATCTAGAGTCGACTCCTACTGACGTTCAACAGCCATTCTCTTTCCCGTTTTCATCCATTCGCTCCTAGCAGGCGTTATAGTCTTCATAAACCAGCACATCAACAGCAACTTCAACCTCCCATCCAGCATTGTAAGCAACGTTCCCTAATTTCATACCATCACGTGACAGCTCACTCATTCTTTAGATCCCTTCACTGTCCATAGTAGTAGGTCTGATGCTGGTGTTCAGAAACCAAACAGCCTACTCCCGCTTCTGGGGCGGACGAATGCACTTGAATGAAGTAACGACCGCAATCCGTTGTCTAGCCCGACAGTTCCTAGTTCTCGTCCCTGCCCCGTCCATGGGTGGCTTAGGAGGCCTACACAATGTTCTCTCAACCGACAGTTTCCTGCCTCAAAACATACGGACAAATCAAAATCGAGCAACAGAAGGATTAAGTAAAGCCGATGAGCTAAAAACCATTGAAACGGTCAAGATCCTCATCGCGATGTTGTATACGGTAAAAAATCATCTCAGAGCGGAATGGGGTGTCGCGTTGAGTCCCGGGACTAGCTTGACGGCGGATGGGCAGGAGGCAAATACAGAGGAATATAAGGATCTATTGCCGCCAGGCATGAAGGGGTATGAGCACAGGGGTTTGGGGTTGACGCTTGAGCTAGCTACGTTTGTGGAGATGTTTGTGAGGGATGGAGTTAAGAGGTGAGGTTTGATTTTGTTGCGGAAGAAAGTGATGCTGATATGAGTATAGGGATTGGTTCCATAACGCCGCTTCTTCGAATATGCTCGCACAGCTAAATCAACTTACTCATGCGTACGGGAGTATGGAAGTCATTCGTCTGGTACCCATTCCAGTTGCACATTTGTAAGTTTTTCTGATTTTCCTTTTCTCGCTTCAGACTCAGGAATTATAACTAACAAGTAGTACAGGATTCATCATAAACAAACCCTGGCTCTGTTCTGTGGCATTCTCCCCTTCGCCATGGCCTCCGAAATGGACTGGTGGGCCGTCCCCCTCGTGGCCTTCGTAGCCTTCACCCTCTACGGCATCGAAGGCATAGCACAAACCTACGAGGACCCATTTGGCGTTCACAAAATCGACATCAACATGGATGACATCGTCGAAGACGCGCGCCGCGAAGTCGAAGTAATGCTTACAGCCTGGCAAACTCAAGGGCCTACCAACAAAGGAATATTCCGTCCGAGGGTTGGTGAGAATACTGCGCCGAGTTCTCCAAGGTCGGAGTATGGCGGGGAGTTCTTTAGTGATATTGTGGAGTCCGGTGAGCAAGCTTCGCCGGGGACTACAAGTGGGGTCAAGTTTGTGGTTAGTGATGCGAATGAGTCTTCATCGTTTAAAGATGAGGAGAGAATAAGGGAACGGCCGAAGAGATTTTCGACCTCCTCGAACACGGATTTAACGATGCAGAGAGGCGAGAGAAGTACAAATACACACTTTGAGACTTAGACTGGAGCGATGTTTAGAGTATAGCAGATTGATAGATAGATACCCAGACTCTGGTGTTGGGAGCTTTGAGTAGTAGACTTGCATTATAAAAGAATTTAGATTGCTTTTCGAGAACGTAGATATCATAAAGTGTATACGGACTTATCAGAAATTTCACTGCAATCTAATATCCAGATTTCACATGTCTTACGCCGTGATTCCAGAGAGAAAATGGAAAGGGGTACATATGCACGTGACCCGATTAATTTCGCGCTAACATCCCAAAAAAATAGTAGACCCTGACAGCATCATTCCACGTTCTTCATCTCTTTTTCTACCATTCGCCATCCTTTCATCCACCATGCCGGCGTTTGCGCGTTCAGTTACTCCCTTCCTACGGGCCTCTCGCTCTGCATTGTGTCAAAGCAATGCCATCAACCCTCTGCAATTTGCTCTACGAGGGCAAAAGGGCGCCGCGGTGTTGAACACCGCTCGCACATATGCTACAGCGTTTGAGCGGACAAAGCCGCACGTTAATATTGGTAAGAATGCTCAATGAGAAGCTTGGTCAAGTTTGTTCTGACTGTATATAGGTACAATTGGCCACGTCGATCATGGAAAAGTACGTCAGGCGATTTCGAGGACATGAGAATCTACTAACAGCATTCATAGACAACATTGACAGCCGCAATCACGAAGAGACAAGCAGAGAAGGGACTGGCAAGCTTTTTAGATTACGGATCCATCGACAAGGCTCCCGAAGAGCGAAAGCGTGGTATCACGATTTCCACAGCACACATCGAGTATGCGACTGACGCCAGACATTACTCGCATGTCGACTGTCCCGGTCACGCCGATTACATTAAGAACATGATTACAGGAGCCGCCAATATGGATGGAGCCGTTATCGTCGTGGCAGCTTCAGACGGACAGATGCCTCAAACCAGAGAACATCTTTTGCTCGCTCGCCAAGTCGGTGTGCAGAAGATTGTGGTCTTTGTTAACAAGGTTGATGCTCTTGAGGACCCTGAGATGTTGGAGTTGGTCGAGATGGAGATGCGTGAGCTTTTGAGCACGTATGGATTCGAGGGTGACGAGACACCAATCATTCTTGGATCTGCTCTTTGCGCTTTGGAGGGACGGAGACCCGAGATCGGTGAATCGAAAATCGACGAGCTTCTCAAGGCTGTTGACGAGTGGATCCCGACGCCCGTGCGTGATCTCGACAAGCCTTTTCTCATGTCCGTCGAGGATACCTTCTCCATTCCAGGACGTGGTACTGTTGTCTCTGGCCGAGTTGAGCGTGGTACTTTGAAGAGAGATGCCGAAGTCGAACTTATCGGAAAGGGAGAGCACCCCATCAAAACCAAGGTCACCGATATCGAGACGTTCAAAAAATCCTGCGAGGAATCCCGCGCAGGAGACAATTCCGGTCTTCTCCTCCGAGGCGTAAAGCGTGAAGATGTCAAGCGAGGAATGGTCATCTGCAAGCCAGGAAGCTGCAAAGCCCACAGCGAATTCCTCGTTTCCATGTACGTCCTGACCAAGGAAGAAGGAGGCCGTCACACCGGATTCATGAACAATTATCGCCCCCAAGTCTACCTCCGTACCGCTGACGAAGCTTGTGCGCTCTGGTGGCCAGAGGGAACAGAAGATGCGGACTCCAAGATGGTCATGCCAGGTGACAACGTCGAGATGAGATGCGAGATCCACCACCCGATTGCCATCGAAGTCGGTCAACGCTTCAACGTCCGTGAAGGAGGCCGAACCGTAGCTACTGGCTTGGTGACTCGCATCATCAAGTAAGCTTCCGATACCAAAATAATAGACCGACGGAATTGAGCACCTTCAATTTTGGGATCAGCTTCGTATGTATACTTGGCTTTGATACGATATGTACGCTGGGGGCATGGAAAAGGAGTTGATCTTCGTTTGTAATTTGTTGTAGATTATTGATGAAAGACCCCCTTTTTAACTCTCCTCTCTACTTCGAGCATGTCTTTTAGAAAGAACTACACCCTGTACCATAGGAGGCTGGATGAAATATGAAGAATTGTACAAATCACTTTGTTAGTCAAATTATACCGTGATAATTGTAAGACTCTTAGGCTGCCATTCATGAAGGCTTTTCCTCCAGCGTGGAATGAGGCCTCGCCCATCTTTCCTCTTGCTCAGTTCTTCCTTCCAGAGTTTGTTGCAACCCACGATTTGAATCGCATTCCTAAGAGCCCAAAAAGGAATAATTCTGCCCCCCCGAAGCCCTCATTCATATACCAAAATGAGCAATAAACCACCACTCGCAAACAAGCAAGTGCGTGTTTGATGCTTTGGTTTCTTTTCAACGCTAACTATTCAGAAGTAAATAAAATCCATTTTAAACTCCAGCTTCTTTATTTTCCGGACTTCGATCTTTCTCTCCTACAGACAGCCCCTGAACGCCTTCCTCCAAATTTCTCTTCGAGAATGGTGGAACATCGACTAGGATGGCCGCGAACGAGTACCACCACCCCGTCTCATGTTCATTCCCACACCACGCCTGAAACGCCATGGCGACCTCGTTATTCTTCTTATCTCCCTGATCCACCCATTTCACATGCTCGAAAATATCATACTTTCCCCAGTGTCTAGCAAGCTACCACTCATATCAGTATCGCATGTGGTAAAATCCAAAGATAGGGAGGGCCGTACCTCGAAATCTTCAGGTTCAAACCCCGCCTCTTCCCCTAGAATCACAATTTCCTTGAACTCCGGTAAAGCACGCGTGAGATTCTTAGCTGACCTCTGATACTCCTCTTCATCAAATTCGACATCATTATAATCACGCTCCCCTTCATTGAACTCCTGGTCCAACACAGGCCTAACCTGTGTTTTCAAGCCCAGACTTCTGAAGATGGTGAAGATTACCACATCGATTCCCTTGAGCGCATGGGGCAGTCTCTGGTTCGCGGTATTGTTCGTATGGGCGTACTGGTGCGCGCAGTGAAAACCAAGCATGCCGCCTTTCTTCATAAATGCAGGGGACTCGAGCATTTCTTTCAGGGATTGGTAGAGAGGGTACAGCTTCGGATCTGCGGTGGGGAAGGTTGGATGCACGACTCCGCCGAGATGCTCGGAGACGTAGAGTTGGTAGGTTAGGGTTATGCGGTGTCCTGAGGTGACAGGGAGAACTTCGTGCTCACAGTCCGAGTAGAAAGCTGCCCAGTGGATCGTTGAGGAGGTCTTGGAATCATTGCTGCCGAGATCGAAGAAGCGCTCGACGCCTTTGTGTGCTACGCGAAGGATACCTCCTGTTTCTTCTTAGCAGGCATTTATGACCGATTAAGACGGAGGGAGGGATATGCTTACCTCCATGCGGATTTGGCAGGCTCACGACCAAAGAGCCGAATTGTGTGAAGCCTCTTGGAGTATCAACATGTGGCTTGAACTTGTCCGATGGGGCAGAATATGCCTGAATTCCTCGTTAATAGGCCCTTGCTCAAAGGAAACTGAACACACATTCAACTTGTAGAGTTCCGCCACAACACCCCAATGCTGAGCATTGGCACCATTCTCCGCCCTGTCAATGCCCTCTGGCCTTGCAATCCCAGGCAGTAAAGCCTGAGCAACCGCATCCACAATCCCATAATCATAAGGATTGAAACTCGTCGAGAACTCACTCGCTTCTAACTTCCCCGCCTTTCGTATCCGCTCATCGAGCACATTGCCTCCTCCAAACCCAAATGTTGCTGGCTGACAACTCTTGACAAGCTTCTCCAGAACAGCTTCCTTTCCAGCTGGGACGGGAAATTGGATTTTGCCTGCGATATCGCCGGCTTGATCGTCCCAGCGAATGGTCACGGGAGGGGACGTGATGGGTGTTTTTGCACTGGTGAAATCACCGTATCGAGTAGTGCTTCGGATGTCAATTGGGACTGCTCCGCCGCAGGAAAAGGCAGCGGTGGAATTGTATCCCTTTATGGCGTCTAAGAGCTGTTCCATAATTTTGTCCTCTGCTACCTCGAGAAGAGACTTTGCCCCTGACATGGTGAGTGCTGAGAAGAGAAAGGAGGGTTGAATAGTTGGCTTCCTCGAAAACAAAGACTGCGATCTGCAGTGGAGAGAGTTTATATTTGGCAGGAAATAGTGTGAGTGTCAGTGACAAAAGAAGCCGAGACGACGGACTGAGTCACGCGGCGGGCCTACCTAGCATGCAAATTCAATGGAAGGAATAATGATGCTAAAGAGGACGGTCAACTTGATCGGGTTCTAGTTTAGGACTTTCACTTTGTGCCTTCCGTTTCCATTGGCGGTGAAGTGGTGATTGCTTTCTTACACAGGTCAGGATGGAAGGATGTTGGATTTAAGCGCGAACTCGGGCATGTGAGCGGTCTTTGCCAAATCCACACAGGTTTTACAATTGCTTGATATATTCAAATACCGTGTATATTCAATGGGAATTATCTATTTAATTTTGACCAATCATTTATCATAACAGAAAGTGATATACTGGGAGTCTCGGATGGTTGTAAAACATAGGGGCCAAAATTATCACGGCTATTAAGTGGTTGCGAAGTCAAGTGACTAGGATTCTGAACAACCTTTTTTTTTCGCGGGATTGGCATTCGGTATACATTTGTGGTAAACAACAGGTTCTAGAATTAGTGTCTGTACTGGTATTACGTCAAATATAGATCTCACTTTGATTATGGGCTCTACCCAAACCCGATCACGTGCGTATTGACTTCAACTTTTGCACGGTTCGCCAGGCAGCGAGAAAAGAACAACTCGCAGTTGCAAATCCGGTAGGATCAATCAACCATCTCCTCGCAAACGAATCCCGTCGCTCTCGATACTCTAGAACATCCTGGGATCTCCCAGCTGTTTCCCTCAAAGAATGGTTGAAGCTGGACTTCGCAACTTCAAGCGACATGAAAATAAAAATCAACAAAATGGAGCAACGCGGTAATCAAAATATCCAAGCCGACGAGAAAAGTGGCCTTCTCGCCAAAGAGCGACAGATAGAGGCCCCAGTGGAACCTTTACGAAAGCGGCAGTACGTCGTAAGAGGATTGGTTGCCGTCCTCGTTGCTTTTGCCTGGCTGTCAGTAGTCGGAATTGAGAACCTTCTCAGTCGACAACCAAAGGGATCGGAGCTTGACAAAGTTGAAGGAAATAGAAAACATGTGGATTACGAAGACGTAATTCCCTAAATGAATGTCGCATTTGGAATTCAGGGCTGACCTACTCCAGATCATTCCAAGTGAGACGCTGGAATGGCATACATGCTATGAGGATTTCAAGTGTGCCCGACTCACTGTGGCTATGGACTACCATCGTCCGTTAAATGCATCAAAAGATAATCCCAAAGTCCATATTGCCCTTATTTTGATTCCGGGTACCCATGAGAAGCCCGAGTCCTATTCTCCTTCGCCTCTGCTGATCAACCCCGGTGGTCCTGGCGGTTCTGGAGTTCAGACTGCTCGTGGATTGGGCGGTTATCTGCAAGCTATTCTGGGTGAAGGCCAGGACATTATCGGATTTGACCCTCGTGGCATCGGTGCGACTACACCACGAACTGATTGCTTCTCTTTTCCGGGTGGACCTTCTGGAGAAGATGATTATGTGCAAGGACAGTTTCACCGTATGCTCTGGCAGACTTCTGGAAGGGAGATTGGTCTCGTAAACTCAAGCGAGGTTGCCTTGCACAAGATTGATGCTAGGTCTCGGGGTCTGGGTAAGCTTTGTGGAGAGAAAGACTATTTGAATGGAAACGATAGCATTTTCAAGTACGTTAGCACGCCGAATGTTGCTAGAGATATGGTGAGCATTGTTGACGCCTGGGATGAATGGAACGCCGCTCTGAGTGGTCCTTCAGCTCCTTTGGCCGAGGAAACAGACGAAACCAACGATTTTGAGGAAGTTTCCGGCCTGGATACAAAGGGCAAACTTGTTTACTGGGGATTCTCTTATGGAGTAAGCAAAACCAAATCGCTAAAACACTCCTACAACTTACAAAAATATAGACTCTTCTTGGAGCCACGTTCGCGGCAATGTTCCCAGATCACGTCGGTCGGGTTGTACTTGATGGCGTGGTAGATGCGGATTACTACGTGTCGCCGATCTGGGCGGAGTCAATCCGTGATGCTGACGCTATTGCTGAATTATTTTACACATACTGCCATGAAGCAGGTAATAAATGCGACCTCTATAAAAAGGATGATACGCCTGCCGACATCAAAACTCGATTCGAAGGAGTTCTTGCTAGGATCAGGAAAGAACCTATCGTATTGGTGAATGATTTGACAAAGCTGCCTCAAGTCATCTACGAGAGCGATATTAGGAGTCTTCTGTTCAGTACACTATATTCGCCAACATTGTTTTCCCCGATAACTGCTACGATCTTTGACCGGCTGGATAGCGGAGACTACGATGCGCTCAAACGCTTGCTGGGTGGTTTCACTCCCGAACCTGACCTGCCATCTTTCTGTAACCCACCTCCATCACCGCAATATCTAACAGATGAGGCAAACTTTGCTATCATGTGCAGTGATAAACGTTATCCCGTTAGTGATACTTCTCCTTCCGGCCATGTGCTCTACTAACCACAAAATAGCTCAATGGAACTCTCTCTGAGTTAAATACCACATTTGAGAAAATGGCCAACACATCCTCTTTCGCTGATGTTTGGATGACTCTGATGATCGGATGCGATGGATGGCCTGTGGAATCAAAAGACCCACCAATGAGGTGGGACGACCACCCAGCGCATAACCCCAAGCCAATCAAGACTTCTTTTCCGCTTCTCTTCATCAGCAACACTAGAGACCCCGTCACGCCCCTCTATGCCGGTGTCAAAATGGCCCAAAAGTTCGTTGATGCAGGACTTATCGAGCAAAAGTCTGAGGGACATTGCAGCTTGTCGGCTGTTTCATCATGCACGGCCAAAAAGATCGTAGCATATTTCCGTGAGGGCAAAGTGCCACCTCATCCAGTGAAGTCGGACAAAGGTCTGTTTGATGGAAAGTGGGACAAATGCGAGGCCGAGTCCTGGCCCTGGCATCCCTATGATCCCGAAATGTCGATTGCAGACAAAGGTGAGGAAGGAAAGGCCGAGGTGAAAATGATGAAGGCATTGGAGGGCATGCAACGCGAGTTTGCCAAACAAGTCAAGCCTTGGAAAAGTACAGGCGCTTTGAGTACTGAGAGACTGGTCGAACTTAGCTTACAACAGTTGGATAAATGATTAGCCAATGGCTAATTCTCAGTCATTTCGGGTGGGTATGTCCTTCACGAAGGGAATGAAACCAATTTAGTGGACTTTCCATTCTAAATGTTTCACAGGGGACAGTCTTTTTGATCACGGTCACTAGAAGGTTTTCAAGTCTCGCAATTTGCGATCGAAGAAGAGGGATTGGTCCTCTCCATTCCTCCTGGTGTCTAGGCAATCCACTGGAGTAAACATTCCCGAAAGATAATCTCACATTTAACATCAATGCCTTCAAGTTTTGCAAATATCGATTACTTTAATCAGCGGTTCTTCAAACTTATACTTACACGGACTCATTACGTACGATACAACTAACGCCGCCTGGCATGGTGCCTCTGATATCGAAACAATTCGGTATTTTAGACCGCAATGAGATGCACGAAATTATCTGGGACGATGATCCGGACCGGAAAACAACGACAACTACATTATGGGGTACTATGGCTATGGGTTGCTGCATCATTCTTGCTCATACGTTTCAGCTCTCCCCATATTGCTAATGGGAATTGTTCCCAACCTTGTGGGCTTTCCATCAGTCGACCGGTTTGTGTTGGAGGGCAATTGCATTTATCTGTACAATTGAGAGTTGACCGTTTTGATAAAAGTGAATTTTATTCTTATAGAAGAAGCATGCCGTCCAAATACTAATCCTATACTCGGGGGATGGTCTTTCTAATACATACCCATATAGAAAAATACTTTAGAACAAAACATCACATAACATTTCTTCAGCAACTGCACAATCCCTCACATCGTCCACCTCACTTTTTCCTCATCCCCCTTCGCGGAAGAAGCAGAAAATCACGTGCCGTCGCATCGTCAAAAATCGCGTCACCTTCAACGCGTGCTCGAGCGTCTTGCTCTCCATAATCGCATCACAGCACAACCCCTCCATCCACCATGCCTTCAAACCTCGAGCGCAAAGCGCGGCGCAAGCAACAGACCAAATTGGTATTCGAACCTAGCAGCAGCTCGCCAGCACCAGCGCCAGAACAAGTGAATATGCGATCACCTGCAAAGGTGAGGTATTCGTTGCGCGGGGAGAAGAGGAGAGATTATAGGGGGAGTGGGGTTAGTGGTAAGGGTGTGGGTAAGGGTGAGGTGCAGATGAAGTTGAAGGGGGGAAATGGGAAGGTGGGGGATGTGGTGGGTTTGCCGGTTGGTATGTCTTGATTCTCTTGATATTATGGGTTTGCTTGTATATGGGCTGACAATCTATGTGCAGAAAACCTTGAAAGCGAAAACGAAGACGAAGAAACAGATTCCGCTGACGCTGGGGCTTCTGTGAGGAGTAAAATACCATCGAAGGAGAAAAGATCTCTCGCGAAGAAGAGGAAGGTTTCTCGAGAGATTAGTCTTTCGGACGCTTCTGATGATGCCAGTGGTCAATTTGCGATGAAGGCCCGCCCGAACATGTTCTCGGGCAGGAAAGGATTAGCTGCGAAATCCGAGAGCGATTGCGATTCGGAGTCGGAGGAAATACTAGCAACAACTCGCAAGACGCAGAGAGGATCCATGGCAGCAAGAGCGAAGCCCATTGTGATTGAAGATAGCGATGAAGACGATATTTATATCACTTCTTCGGTGGTTCAAAAGGGAAAGGCGCCTGCGCAGGTGTCGGATGAGGATAGCGAGGAGCCGATTACTAGTCCGTTGAAGCGTCGAAGACCGATGAATCTACAAGACGATAGGTCATCACCCGATTCCAACGTTAGTCCTACGAAACGGCGGAAAAGAACTTTAATAGAGATAGAGGAGGAATCTGCAGATAGTGATTTACCATCGCCCAGCAGGATTACATCACAAAGCAGGAGGAGCGCGTCTTCTACGCCTACCAGATATACCCGCCAGAAGAAGGAGAAGAAGCGACACCGGTGTGCAACCTCTAAGCATTATATTTGTTATTGATCACGACTGACTTTGGAATTTACAGGTCCGATAGAGAGAAAGCGCTCGAGCTTGCCAAACGACGGCGCGCAGGTGACAAATCCGAACTAACGCCATCTGATTCTGAATTGGAAGATGAATCGGAGGATTCAAACCTTGAACATCTTTCAGATTTCGAGGATGATGATGAGGAAGTCGTTAAAAAGCCAGGATCCGGGTATGTTTTGATATTAATGTCATACTGTCCCAGTCTAACATCTTGATAATAGTAAAACATCTCCCTGGGGCTCAAAGAGTACCCTACAAGTTGTAGACGAAGATGACTTTATAGTCGAGGACGACGAGGGGGACCTAGGCGTTGATATTAGTATCCCCCTTGAATTTACGAGCAAGTACCACCAAAAACCAAAGGAACACTTTCGCTCCGCTATCGAGTGGATGGTTCATAAAAAGCTTAACCCTGGCTTCCAATCCGCGGATGAGATATACCTCCGAGCCTTCCAAGTCTTAGGTAGCAAGCCCTCCACGCTAGCAGAGAGCAAGTTTGGCTCTTCTGCCTGGACTGGCGAATTCTACCGGGCTTTAAATGCACGACCCAAGTTCCGGGAACGTAAATTGTTCGCTGGCGAGGCATTAGCGATTCAGGGCGAGCATAGATGTCAGGTTTGCAACCGGGGCAAGCATCCTTCTACATACGCCGTGCGGTTTGAAGGCAAGGCGTATAGCAAGGCGACGTTGGATGAGGTGGAGCAGGATGACGAAGAGGAGAACGTTTCCGACGAAAATGCAGATGATGGCTCAGAAGCAGATTCCTCATCCGAATCTGATGATTCCTCGTCGGCCTCGCCAAAGAAGAGAGCGGCTAGTGTCGATGCGGGCGGCAATCCCCTTCCCGCCGAAAGCAAAGAATGGTTCTCGGGCCAATTCTGCTTCAGGAAAGCGCAGACTGCACATCTGCTTATCCACTGGAAGTATGAGCTATACCAATGGGTGCTAGATACGCTTGAAAGGGAAGGAGAGCTGAAGGAGAAGAAGATCGTGCGGAGGGATCAGATGAAGGCGCGGGAGCGCAGGGACTATGCTAATGGGGTTGTGGACCGGTGGGCAGTCAAGGGAGGGGAGATTGATGGGTTGTGGAGGGATTATGATGCGCAGATTAAGGCTGCGGAAGAGGCCGTGCTGGATAGGAGGTTTGGGAAGTGAGGAAGTGGGTGGTGGGGGGTTTTATATTTAACAAATGGCCTGGCGTTGCTCTGTCGATATGGAACATGGAGTCGAATTGATACCCCTGATGATTGGAATATGCGATGCACGGGATCTCGTGACATCCACGTGTGGCATATCACGTGTAGTAGCTTACGCCGCATCGTCACTGGAAATTTCAAATGCTGGACGGACGATCGATCCCCACTCAACTCATCACATTCCCTATGGCCACGCCACGGTCTCGATCGCGGTCTTTTCGGTGTGGGGATGAAGTCATCGATATTATTGAAATTGAGACCTGAAAAGTGAAACGTGTCTTTGTTTATTTGGTGAGTTAACTTGGTGAAGGAATGAAAGGAGAGAAGAGAGAGTGCGAGAAGGAGATGGAGGGATTCGATGTGATGTGATTGATGTGCTTGCGCTGTATGATTGAATTGAACTGAATTGAATTGATCGTCGCAGGGATGGATATATAGTACGTCAGAGAAGCATGGGAATCGCGAAATGCCATCCATCATTGGAAATATGAAACCAGGCAAGAACGACGACCAGATCTAGCTTTCCCCATTCCATTTCTACGTTTCCATACCAAGGCGAAAGTTATAATAATTCCAACTATTGTATCATTAGCTGGAAAGCTGAATAGATATTATGGGTTGTGGAGATTAATGCTATGCAGCCTGCAGGGTCTGTTGTCCTGTCTCGCTTGGGGAGAGTGGAGGGATCCCGGGCCCGGGGAAGAGGAAGAAGGGAGGTGAGATCAAGATTCCATTGGGATTATGTCATGGATATTGACTTCACTCCTACACGCGTACTTGTAGAAGTACCTTGTTGAGCTGCATTCTTTCACTCACGTTCCTGATGCGATGCAACAATGACGTAGACGTAATTTCATTTCAACAAACAATAACATAATCCAACCAAACCGTGTGGTGTTGAATGCCACTGAGGCTGAATGCTCTCTCTGCTCCACCTGCCGCGCGCGACTATTTGTTGCTAGGTGACCATGCCATGCTTTATACATTTTAGTTTCTACCCAGGTGGTATTAGTTCTAGCTGTTCTTCTACCACATCCGTACAAGAGTAGTGGTCATCTCAATCGCCCCTTCCCCCTTCCCCTTCCCTTTCCCTGCCTGCCCCTTCCCTCCAAACCTAGTCCCAGACCAGGACAGGAC